GGGATGTGCAGAGAGGCGAGCGTCAGCACACGCTCGAAGGCCATTCAAGTTGGGTCAGCAGCGTGGTATTCTCACCAGATGGGGCTCGACTGGCATCTGGCTCTCGGGACAGCACAGTGCGGGTGTGGGATGTGCAGAGAGGCGAGTGCCAGCACACGCTCGAAGGCCATTCAAGTTGGGTCAACAGCGTGGCATTCTCGCCCGATGGGACTCGACTGGCATCTGGTTCAAATGACAGCACAGTACGGGTGTGGGATGTGCAGACAGGCGAGTGCCAGCACACGCTCGAAGGCCATTCAAGTTGGGTCTACGGCGTGATATTCTCGCCCGATGGGACTCGACTGGCATCAGGCTCATCTGACAGCACAGTACGGGTGTGGGATGTGCAGAGAGGCGAGCGTCAGCACACGCTCGAAGGCCATTCAAGTTGGGTCAGCAGCGTGGTATTCTCACCAGATGGGGCTCGACTGGCATCTGGCTCTCGGGACAGCACAGTGCGGGTGTGGGATGTGCAGAGAGGCGAGTGCCAGCACACGCTCGAAGGCCATTCAGGTGTGGTCAGCAGCATGGTATTCTCACCCGATGGGACTCGACTGGCATCTGGTTCATATGACAGCACAGTACGTGTGTGGGATGTGCAGAGAGGCGAGTGTCAGCACACGCTCGAAGGTCATTCAAGTGTGGTCAGTAGCGTGGTATTCTCACCCGATGGGACTCGACTGGCATCTGGTTCAAATGACAGCACAGTACGGGTGTGGGATGTGCAGACAGGCAAGTGTCAGCACACGCTCGAAGGCCATTCAAGTTGGGTCAGCAGCGTGGTATTCTCGCCCGATGGGACTCGACTGGCATCTGGTTCAAATGACAGAACAGTGCGGGTGTGGGATGTCGTCAGCGGGATAGAGCTGCTACGCCATGTCGCTGGAGCTTATGATAGCAAGATCGAGTTCAACCATGACAGCACCAAGATTTCGGTGAATGGTGAAGCGATATCTACCCCATTACCCGGCCCATCATGTGTTAAATTAGCAGGACTATCGGGGCGCAGTCCCAAATTGCCCACGACAATGCTTGGTATTGACGGCGACTGGGTGACTTGGTCCTCTGAGAAGATATTATGGTTTCCTCCTGAATATCGCCCGCGATCGAGAACAAGTCGTGGGAATTTCCTCGTTATCGGTAGCGGTAGCGGTCGAGTTACGTTTCTTTCTCGTGGTTCGTCAAGTTCTCCGTTACATTGACGTTTCGCAAGCGACTGTATCCGTAATGGAAGCCGAATATCACGACTGCTGAATCCCACATTAACCCCAGTTGCGCTCGAGGGGATCACCCATTCTTGCATTCCGGTGTCTCAGAAACTCAGATCCCGTCTTTTTAGATAGAATGTCGCTAGCCAAGGGGAATTGGGTTGGATTTTCATTTTGTTAGACCCACGCCATGTGTTGACTGGTGTAGGTCTCGACCCTACAATCTGTGGCGGAGAAAGATATACCTGCGATACTGCAGCGCCAGTGGCATCTTCTGTGTTTGTCACTGTGACTCATAGTGACGGATACTGGCGTGGTTTTGTTGGGCTTGAACCGAGGGACGAGCTAATGATCCCGGGAACCAGGCTCTAGATACTTAGATTGGTCATTTCGAAGGTGTTATATGATATCTAAAACCGAGTTCGAATGCAACAGGTTGGTTGATGTAGTCAGAGTGTCGGTAGTCGATCAAAAGCCCTTCGTTGAAATTGGATTGTCGCATGTTTGAATCTTCAGTCTCAAGCAGGGCGCTGGAGTTCGTAATTGAACCAAAGCCGTAGTCGGTCCTGTTCAGCGCAATAGTATATGGCAGCTTACCACAGGGGTTGACCGTGCTGTAGAGGATATCGATGATCGGGTTTCCTGCCTCCTGCCCTGGAAGGTGAGCGGCGAGAATGGCTGTGACGTTTGGATTGTTGGCCCCAGGCATAACGTCCAAACCGGCCAACTGCGTGATCAGGATCGTATTGTTACAATATGCAGCAACTGCGTTCACCACTGCAGAGCTATTCCAGCCTGCTTCCAACCTCCTCTGATCAATGTCCTCAGACGCCGAGGTCTTCAAAAAACCAAGTACTCTTCCGGCACGGGGATAATGAAAGACAGCCGACCAGGAGAGTTGGAGGAGGTAGGGCTACCGGTGCTGGTGATCAGAGTATTGTCGAGTATGCACTGAACTAGAGTGCCGTCTTGCGCTGCGCGTGCTTTGATGATGGCTTCCAGGGAGAAATTGTTCGTCAGAGTGCCATAGCCTTTCAGCGGTTCATCGTAGATGAAATTGATAGACTGTAGAGTCTAGAGAAGACATGAAGGAATGCGTTTGTTATTCTATCTAACATGAGAGCAAGACTGATGAAGTGGGAAAGGTGCGAGTTGCGACAGTGCCAAGCCAACTTCCTTACTTGACAATGCCAAGCACAATTATCACGTGACTGGACAACCGAATCTAAACGTGCCCAAAAACCATTCAGATCTGTTGCATCATTTCCAAGCACTCCCATTGTTTTTGTGCTTGAAGAGGCAGGGTGTTGTTTATGTTTTCAAGAGAGCGATCCTGGCGGCTTCTAGGTCGCGAATAAATTGGTCGCGGCTCTCTCGCACATCAACGTAAGTCTCCAATATTGAATTGATGCTGGTAAGGTGGTCAGTTCTTGGACGTCAATTAGAGGATTATCATTCTGTTGAAAATAGAAATACGGAGTCATGATGCATCGTGCCATGTCGTCAACGCGACTTTTCGGAGAGATTCCCGTTGCGGACCGCTGTGGTCACACTGCCGCCGAAGAAGGGAGAGCTTAGAGAATCTCCGATGATGCTCACAAAAACAGGCGTCGGGAGAATAAAAACTAAGATGTAGGAAAGGAGCTTACTAGGTATATTCATATCCAAATCGGCGTTGACAGGATCAACACTAGGGCGAGTGGCTCCCCAATCTGACATAACATACCAAGTTCAGTCTTCAGTAGACCGCTGGGATTCTATCTATTGTAAGAACACATGATCGCAGTGGTTTCCGGCGCCAAAACCCTTGGCAAAAGGCCATAGATACAATTCGTGCATCGTCCGATCGTCCATGTTCGCGGAAACCGCCTCAACAATAGTTCCATTTAGTGACAAGCTGGGGGTTTCGCTGGGTTTCTTGATCGTTGCAGATATAATGTTTGAGACATGCTTGGACGCCGCTTTCCTGCATTCCCCAGGTTGCCTGCTCCACTGCTGCTCCTGTTAGGTATGGACTGGGAGAAAAGCCTTCCCGATTACAGTCACCGAGCCGAGAGCCACACGGCTCCCTTTCTCTTTGAACGTGGCACCCAGATACCGTCCGCGAACATAAGGCCTATATCCCACGATGCCACAGCGGTGAGTCCTGCCGGAAATACGGAGGCATATGTGGCTAGTCTGATGGCTAAAGGACCTGACCGTCTTGGAGATGAAGGCCATCGAAACTGAGATGAGGTAGAGGCCAACGTTTCCCGCACAGGGACCGTGAGTAGGGGTTACATGTTGAGCCTTCTCACGTAGAGTCAGATTGGAGACAAATTCTTGTGCGTATTTGAGTGCCGCTTTGCAGCCGATTCCATCGGTGGGAGGATTGGGATAGACTGGCGTTGAAATGCTGTAGTTTTGTGTGTATACCTGGCTTAGTCAGGCTAGAAATACTGTCGAGAGAGCAAAAACAAACATTTTGATTGTATTCAGAGACAATCCAAGGGAGACAAAAATTGTCGGAGAAAGAATGCAATTGCCTTCTGATAAAAGAACCAAGAGCTGAATTTGTACGCTTGAGAGGCCTTTTTAAGTTGCTTAGTCTAAGCTGTTGTGTTGAACGAGACGGAGTGGCAGAATCGGTACGTAGCCTTACGACAGGACTCTGGGAACATTGGTCGGTCCGGTAAATCGTGATATCCGTTCCGAAGTGGATCTATTTGACAGTATGATACAACAGCATCTGAAGAATTTGCAAGTCTCAAGAACGAGAGGGAATCCAACCTAGAAAATTTGAAACTTCGTCGGATGTAAACGGGTGATAGAGTGTCACTGATCTCAAGGCAGGATTTCGCCTTGTGTTCCTGAGCGTTCAATTCGTGTAGTGTTCTCCACAACCAACCTTGTCCACCGTGGTGAGCTTCGTCGTTACCCGCAACCAGCAAAGGTTGACGGCCGACGTAGTAGGAGGATGTGGAATTCATCATCGAGCGGCATTGTTGCATATTTGATGAGGGGTGGGATTCGCAGAGATGAGCAAGAAAGCGCATCTGAGCTTGTGTAATTTCGAAGGTCTCGTCTTGAAGCTCAAGCCACGCAGCATTGTGAAGTAGTTATGGACCATGGGGTTTTGGGGGAACTATCATCACTACAGGGATCAATAATCCCAAAATGTTGAACAGGCAGGACAGCCACAGCCCATTAAAGTGGACGAATGCAGCAGAGAAGAGGTAAGACGGGAAGCTGCTTCGAAGCTGAGTCCTTGAACCCTTAGCGCCCAATTCATGCCTACAAATCTTATCGATGGCACCACCGTGCCCAGCCCCATCTGTGGTCCTCTCCCCCGCCCCCGCATCCGGCTGTCATATTTGGTAGCTATTGCGGCACTTGAGCCCTGAGAACGAAATCTGCCTCGGACTATGAGGTTGACAAATCTCCTCGGGCCTCACGATCCCCCATGCAGAGCCAATCCCTTCAAGCCAAAATAGCTGCGAAGGTGGATGAATCGAGATCAATCAGGCCCGCCCCAAGTCGCTTCATTCAAGCAGAGAAGATGGAAAGCCTTTAGGTCCTGGGCCGGCCTTTGGGCTGAAGACACATTCTACCATTTCAAAAACGTCAGGTCGGGCCCTTTCAACGTCGACAAATTTGGGCTGTGAAGGCGATGAATACGCGTTCGAACCCATGGTTAGGCCCGACAAAGCTTAGCCCCAGCACAGCTCTCGATATTATGCAAGGTGAAGGAAAGAGTTGACCTAGAGCAAGGATTTATTTGTCGTGGGAGGATTCAGGGAAAAGCCTCATCACAGATCAGGCCAACGAGCGAAACGTCTGCATTGATGGTGACATTGTCGGATTGATATGTTGGTTTACTAGGTCACACTTCCACGGTAGGCCTTGTGACTGACTTAAGCACCGATTCCAGGTCAAGGACAGGGCATGTCGAAGCGGTTTCAGAACCTGTTTCGTATAGACTGGTACATCAAATTCTTACAGAGGGCTAAATATAAGCTGGTGACGAAATGACTCTCCTGGAGCGGCCCACACCCGGCCTGGATCGTTGCCAGACTTCAGTATTATCTCTGCCACGACGTGCACAAGGATGACGTTATGAAACAATTGGTCAAAACCAAGGAGCTTGGTGCCGAAGCCCGCAACATCTTCACCAATCGACTGAGGAAGCAGTAAGAGACTCAGGCTAGGCGTCTGATGGGGGAATATGAAGGCGCCATGAACATCTAGACAGGACCATCGACCAGTAAAGAAGACCAAGGAAATTCCAAGAATTGTTTCTCATACCTTTGAGGCAACAGAACCTGAACAGTCTCCCGGAAAGTTCTGCTACGGTCACACGTAAGGCTACGACTTCGAGGAAAGTTGGTCTGAGCATACTCAATTGTTGATGGCAATTCGAATTGCTTTGAGCCGCCAGAATGCTTCGTGAGACGAGCCACGGAAGGACCAAAGATTACATCAAGCTTTCCACGCTCTCTGTCGATGCAGATCACAATGTTTTCGAGGACTTCGCACGCAAAAGATGCCTCGATTTGTTCGGCACGAATGTCACTGTATATGATAAATTCAAAGTCTTCCTGTCGAGAGATTTGAGATTGCCACATCTGGGATCCATTCACGGTAGAACTGGCCGACTCTAAGAGCGCCATTGAAGTTGAAGAAGAAAGGACACCGTTAGACGCCCTCCGAGAAGCCGGGCTAGATATTCCATCCTCTTGCGGGGTTGTTGTGGAACCTATCGTGTTGGGGTAAAGGCTGGAAAGGGTAGAGCATAGAGGGACTAGAAGATGAGAAATGCTCAACCAGGCTGAGCCGTGTTTCTCGAGGCATGGGGAATATTGTCTTGGATCTATAGCTAATCCGAGAAGACAATCTTAAGGGAATCGCTTGGTCACAAAACTCCTGACATGTTTTGCAACCTCGTTCGGCTTCTCCATCGCGCACCAATGACCCGACTCGATTTCTTGGATTTCAAGGTCAGGCAAAAGCCCCGCGTTCTTTGGGATCTGAATCAAGTCAGATCGACAAACCGCATCCCCCGTACAACCGATGAACAGCACCGGAAGCTGAATGACATATCTCTCGTTCGGAATCGATCGTTCAGACTCCCACTGAATATTGTTTCGGTAAGACTTGTACCAACAGGTCGGTGCTTCGAAGCCATCACGGGTAAACCGCTCCATAAAATCATTCTTCCACTTGGGATCCATTGCGTAAGCTTTCAATGGAACCTGCTTGTCGTTCAGGAGGAAGTTCTTCATCGCTCCCCGAACGCAGAACATCTTCTTCATCCAGTCATCAACATCCCCGTGCAACGCTGCCCAAAAGCTCTCAAGATGTTCATTCAGGATTTGGTATCCATCGTCGGCCGTGAAGAGTTCCCAATATGCGAACTGCGGATATCCGAACATCTTTGTCGTCAATTCGTTCGCAGCTTCGAGGTCGAACTTTTCTTCCGTTGGAGGGCGATAAGAAACATTCATGAGAACCACTCCAACCACAAATTCGGGGTGGTACAGATAGAACCGCTGAGTCGCTACAGAGCCCCAGTCATGACCAATGATGATGACAGAGGAGATGTCCTCTGCTTTCAATATTTCAACCAAGTCGTCGGCTTGGCCTTTGAAGTTGTACGCCGAGATGTCGGTCGGCTTGGAGGTTCCTGCATAGCCCAGAAGGTCTGGAACAATCATTCGGCACGGAAGGTCCGAAAAGCTGCTCCACCACCTCGGACCACATGAGGGAGCTGTCTGGGAAGCCATGGAGGAAGAACAAGGCTGGCTTGGAAGTGGTGGCCTCGCTCTTTGGTGACGTGTAGTAGGTGTACGTGAATGACCGCTGGGTCTGTAGGGTCTTCTTCTCGAGTTGGGCCATTGTCATGTAGCTGCCGAGACTTTGAATGAGAGACCTGATGATGGAAGTTGCCGAGGGGGATGTTGACGGCCTAAATACTTTATTCCCCTCATATCACAATTTGAGCCCCGGCAACGGACCTGCTGAATTTACGTACGTTGAAGATATGTCCATTCGCGGGGGCAAGCGAGTCCTATATGCGGTCAGCATAAGTATAGGAAAGGTCGGCTGATGACTATCCATAGCGCAAAGTATACACCGTCGCAGATCAACTAGTCTCGAGATGCGGGGATAGAATTTTTGGTTAGAGGCATGTTAACCTTTTACGGAGTCCCGGCCTCCGGCGAAGCATAATTTGCGGCGCTCGTCGAGAACAGCCAATTTATTCTTTGACCACGATCGTCTCGTCGTATCGGCCATTTTGGGGGCATACAACATGCTCTCATCACCACCCACGAACCGGTCATGAACGGGTCCACACATGGCTCCTTTGAATCCATCGACAATCCCACACCATTCCCCAAAATCGAGGAAGAAGCCAGTAGTCAGGAGAAAGAGCCCAAGGAGGGCAACAAAATCAAGAAGCGCACTGATGGGACTCCAGGCCACAAGAGATCTGTCTCCGGAAACTTGTTGTCGCGGCTGAGCTTTTTGCGGACCAATAGTGATCAGGATAAAAGCGATGGAACTGATCGGGATGGCTCTGAATTCTCCCACCGTGGGCGAGGCGCCATGGCCGAGATGCAGACGGAAACGAAGCGAAAACGAAAGGGCTCTCTACGGAAGACCGTCCTGGGCAGAGGAAGAGATAGAAAGACTTCCGACGTGAAGAAGTCTCCTCTCCATACTGCCAACTCGGCTTCAGGACCAACAGCAGAGGAAGAACGGGCTGCCCCAACTCCTCGCGCCGGTCAAGACTTGTCGAGTCCTGTGTCTCCCGATTCTCCACCATCATGGCCGTTTCGAACCCTCTCCCGGGTTTCCATTCCCTCCATCCGAAGTAGTATTGCCTCCGTCGATCCAGCCTCATCGGCGACCTCAATCATCACGAGCCCGACCATGGGTGGCACCGACGCTTCGACCGACGACGAAGACCTGGTGCTGCCCCGAAGACCAACTTTGCGAAAGATCCCGTCATCGACCTCCTCCTTTGGCGATTCCTACTTCCCTATCCAAGACCCAATGCGCCGCATGTTCGGCTCCCGTACTCGGTCTCCCCTCGCGACGCAACCCCAATCCATTGCAGGGACACCTTCGGACGATGAGGGATGGGACTATTCAGAGACTGCGTTCTGGGGATATGTTATTCTTGTTGTGACCTGGTTGGTCTTCGTCGTCGGGATGGGGTCTTGTTTCGGGGTCTGGTCCTGGGCTTGGGATGTCGGAGAAACACCATACGCACCGCCCGAGTTGGAGGATGATCCTACACTCCCCGTTGTCGGTTACTACCCGGCTTTATTGGTGTTAACCTGTGTAATGGCCTGGGTTTGGGTGGTTGTGGCATGGGTTGGGATGAAATATTTCAGACACGCGGATTTCAAGGGAGACGACGGATAAAGATGCATTTGGATTGGAATTCATCATGGCGGAGATACCCTCGTCATAACAGCTGTAAAAAATGATATCCCAAACCTTGACACCTTGCTCAAAGAGACCTTTGTACCTTCGTTGTACTTTCTGGTTCAGGGGAATCCTTCGGCGCCGGTTGATCCCTTTTGTTTTCCCAAACTCCAAAACGTCGTTGTTCCTCGATCATCATGTTTTGGTTATGCGAATCAAAAATTCCCCCTCTCCCCTTTCTCTCTCTCTCTCTCTCTTCGGTAACGTGCACACACTTCTCTCAACGCCGACCATCCCAAAGACTCAACTCCGCAACCCAAAACCTTTTCAAATTATGACTTGCTCAGTCGTCCCATTCGTTGTCGTCCCATTTTTCAACTGCAACTCCGCCATCTTCGCCCGAAATTCATCCAGATTCTCTTTCATCATGTAGCCACCGCCTGGAGACTCGACCTCCGTCGGCGGAAGAGGGGTGCCAGCGATCGTGGAAGGTGTTTCTGCACTCCCCCCGGGGGCTTTGGACACTAAGCCTTTCGACCGCGCGAATCCTGTTGAGCGTTCTGTCGAGGGATCTGGGTCATAAAACTCGTCTTTGATCGGGCGGACATACACCGTCTGCTGGCAAATTGTCACCATTGTATTTGTGGGCACTGATAGCCAATTGTGTCGTTCGAAGGTCAACGGTTCGCTGGCCACGAGAACCACGTCCGAGGCTTTATCTCTCCGTTCCATGCGGAATTGACCCTTCGTTTTCCCTTCCACCCACGCCGTCCCAGAAGAGTAGTACAGACTCGCCGCCGCATCGGTTTTGCTACTCACATATCTGGTTACAATAACAGAATGGCCATCGGTGACAGCGAAGTTGAGGAGACTTCTCGTCTCGACATCCGGTAATTGGTATTCGGGCGGGACGGCTTTCACGAAGGCGTTGATTTGAGCAATGGTCTTCTTCATTGCCCGTCGCAGAATCTTCGCGTCGAATCCCCCTTCGGGTGCGGAACTGGGATCGACGCCTTCGCGTTCCAAGATGTCGAGGAAGAGTGCAAAGGCCCATTCGGAATCCGTTCCGCCCTTCACGCCGAGAAACCATTTATCGGCGATGCTGTCGGACAAGGGGCGTTTGACATACTTCCACGCTCCAATGTTGCCGTTGTGCATCCACATCAAGGTATTGTGCTGGAAAGGGTGGCAGTTGTTCTCGGCCAGGGAACCTTCCGTGGTGGCTCGGACATGGGCAAAAATCAGCCTGGAAGCCGTCTTGGGCGCTATTCGTTCGAGGTTCACGCAGTTCCAGGCGGGCAGGGTGGAAGTGAAGATACATGGATCAGGGCCTAGTTCGGGCTCAGTGTACCAACCGACGCCGAAACCATCTCCATTGACCGGGCGACGACTGTCGAGACGCAGACGGCTGTCGTAGGACTGTGTAAGGATACTGTGAGATGGCTCAGTGACTAGTTTCGAAAGAATTATAGGTTTAGAGCCTTTGTAGACCTGTAGACGGTGAGGATTATATGTCGGATGAGTGATTAAAGGGCATTGACGTACCAGAAATCTACACATCGTGGACCAGAATCGTGGAAAAAAGGGGGTTTCGAAAAGATATCGACGAGTGAGCCCTGTGTTCACTGGGGGACATTATTTCGCAATCCAGGAAAAGGGCGAGAATGGGTAGTCCAAGGGGCGCCGTGGTAAATGGTGGAAGCGACAAATTCCAAGGCTCTCAACGCCAATAGAGAAATATGACGGAAAAAGAGATGGGCAGAAGTAATTTAAATAGGCACTGCGACATATGCACGCTATGAAGTTTGAAACTGGTGAGAAGTGAGACTTCACCGCCATGTTGAGCGGTGGTTGTGATTGTGATATGCGGTTGAAGAGTTGTACGATTCGCCGTAGAGAGAGTGCTATACAGATCCAGATGCTCTGCTGGAACACATGGTATCTACTGTCAGCATCTTCGTCCCTATTGGTGACGCTTGTTGCTGAAACATCATCCCACTGGCCCTAATCTGCCATCCCGTCATCGTCTTCTTCAACCTTCTACGCCTGCCTTCATGTTCGACCCCGGCCTGTGATGAATGGTAGGCTTCTCTCCGCGAGGGTCGCACCTTTGTTGCGCCAGCGGACGGCGCGTCTCTTTCATAATTATGCTCGAACGAGAGCTGGGGGCCTGTTGAGGCGAAATGAAAGAATTTATCGACGAAATTGGCCTCCCGGTTCCTCTTCTATTCACCATGTTCCCGCCGTTCGATCCATCTCCTTCGCAAGGATTCTTCCCAAGCTGGCTCTCAAGTTGGCCCGCATACCGGCTATGTTTGGTGCGAGCATGCTTGCAGGCTTCGCATATGTACAGTATCAGGCAGCCCAAGCGGGAACCTATGCGATGGATGTTCTAAGAAGAGCCGGGGATACTGTCGCGGAGACGTCGTCAAGTGTGTTGGAAGGCGCCAAAGGCATTGCCGATCAGATCGGGGTGGGTTGGCAACGCACCAAAGACGATGTACAACTGCCTGAATGGCTGCAACAGTTATTCCGGAGTGGTGGGGAGCCTGGCGACGGAGGCTCGGGGCCTGAACCGCCCAATCAGTCCCGGGCTGGGGCGGCGGTGGCTGCATCGGCGGCGGCGGCGATAGGACGGGAACAGTCAAATGAAGATGACGACCGATCGAGTGCTGATGGTGCAAGAAATGATCAAATGATGGTCCTCACGAGGAAAATGATCGAAATACGAAGCATTCTGAACACCGTGGGTCAGGGTGGTGCTTTGACGCTGCCGTCGATTGTCGTCATCGGCTCCCAATCCTCAGGGAAGAGTTCCGTTCTTGAAGCCATTGTCGGCCATGAATTCTTACCCAAGGGCTCGAACATGGTCACCAGACGCCCCATTGAACTCACCTTGGTCAACACTCCCGGTGCCAAAGCGGAATATGGCGAGTTCCCGGCGCTGGGCTTGGGCAAGATCACCGATTTCTCTCAAATCCAAAGGACCTTGACGGATCTCAACCTGGCTGTCCCCGCGGAACAATGTGTGACCGATGATCCGATACAACTCTCCATATATTCTCCTAACGTTCCGGATCTCTCTATGATTGATCTCCCCGGCTACATCCAGGTCTCAGGCAAAGACCAGCCTCCCGAACTGAAGCAGAAGATTGCCGATCTCTGTGACAAGTATATCCAGCCACCCAATGTTATCCTGGCCATTTCTGCCGCCGATGTTGATTTGGCCAATTCGACCGCATTGCGAGCCAGTCGACGAGTCGATCCGCGCGGCGAAAGAACCATCGGAGTCATCACCAAAATGGATCTGGTGGACCCCGACCGGGGTGCTGAAATTCTATCCGATCGAAAATATCCCCTGCGGCTGGGTTATGTCGGCGTGGTGTGCAAGATCCCACCGACGGCCGGCCTCTTCTCTCGATCCGGTCAGAGCGTGACGAATGCGATCGTCAAGAACGAGACGGCATACTTTTCGTCACATCCCCTTCAATTTGGTCCTCAATCAGACCTCGCTGTGGGCACGACCACGTTGCGACATAAACTGATGCATGTCCTCGAGCAAACCATGGCAGCTAGCCTGGCGGGGACCAGAGATGCCATCGTGCAAGAACTGGAAGAAGCAACATATGAATTCAAAGTGCAGTACAACGACCGACCACTCAGTGCCGAGTCTTATTTGGCAGAAAGTTTGGACAGTTTCAAGCATTCTTTCAAGGAATTCAGTGAAGAGTTTGGCCGGCCGCAGGTTCGTGCGCTGTTGAAGGATGTCCTCGACCAGAAAGTCATGGATTTACTGGCCAAGAGATATTGGAATAAGCCAGTGGAGGATCTCTCTCCCGTCCCAGTGGAAGCCGAATCCTTGTCTGATTTACCCAAGGCAGACCCAGTCTCGTTATACTGGATGCGCAAGCTGGATGCCTCAACCTCGGAGTTGACTAAACTGGGGGTGGGCAGACTTGCTACCACCGTGGTTGCCTCGGAGCTGCAAAATCACATCGACCGATTGATCGCCACGTCGACCTTTGCTTCGCATCCCTACGCCCAAAGAGCCATCGTGGATGCATCATCCAGCATATTGAACGACCGATTCTACAGCACGAGCGATCAAGTGGAAAATTGCATCAAGCCCTTCAAATTTGAGATCGAGGTCGAGGGGAACGAATGGAACAAGGGTCGCGAAAATGTCGGCCGAGTGTTGAAGAATGAGCTCAAGGCTTGTGAAACTGCACAGAGACGACTCGAAGATGCGATCGGCAAGAGAAAATTGAGGGACGTGATGGGATTTGTCGACCGTGTTCGAAAAGGAGATGTTGTCCTTGAAGGTGATGGCTCTGGTGGAGCAGGGGGATTTTCAGCTGCACTGTTACAAAAAGGTAATGGTCCCACAATTTACACATGCATGGCATTCATCTAATACATATATCTGTACAGGTCGAGAGGCGGTGTTCCTCCGCGATCGAGCTGACATCATCAAAGTGAGATTAATGGCCGTCAAGTCCAAACAATGTGCCAACTTGAAGAACAAGTATTATTGTCCCGAAGTCTTCCTCGACGTCGTTGCAGACAAGTTAACGTCCACCGCGGTCCTATTCCTCAATGTCGAGCTCCTGTCGGAGTTTTACTACAACTTTCCCCGCGAGCTGGACATCCGTCTTGGTCGGCACTTGGAACAGAACGAAATCGAGAGGTTCGCCCGTGAAGATCCCAAGGTCCGTAAGCATCTCGACGTGATCAAGCGCAAGGAGATGCTAGAGTTGGTTTTGGAGAAGATTGAGAGTCTGCGTCAATTGGAGGGTCGGTCGAGGCACCCATCCAAAGTTTCGACGACGAAGGAGAGAGGTCGTTGGAGTTTGTTTTGATGATACCACTCTGTAACGGGCGCTTGTGTGTTGATAGAAATGACATGTTTCATGCCCCCCCTCAAGTCACTCCATCTCCATCGAAATGATCGTTTTGTCGCATCAAAAGAACCCTGAACCACCTGCTCTTGCTACTCCCGACGAAACAAAGGTGTTTGCGAGATCGGCATTTTGCGAACCCATGTTCCAAGGTATCTGGCCTGTGATGTTCTCAATCGCGCCATTGACGCCGCCCAGCTTGTCCCCAATTTTGACCACAGAAAAGCGGATCATGCGAGGATCGAGACGCAGCAATCGCCGGACCTCCTCCTGCACCTTCACCGAGCTGTCGAATTGCATCACGAAATAGTGGCCTCGGTGGTGTTGCGTTTGATGTTTCGTCGTCGGTCGTGGAAGGTCGAACTGTCCCCAATTTTTGATTCCGCGGATCACGCCTTTGTTATCGAGGATTTGCTGGCCGGTGATTCGTGCGATCCTGTGTAGCTGGTTAGCAGAGGCTAGAGAACTGAGAGTCGAACAGGGCGAGTACTCTTTGACGTGGGCCAGGTTGCCCGGTCGAACCTATTGAACATGAGTCAGTCGGATCAGTGTGTCAATCGCAGTAGAGAAGAGGCATACTACTGCTATCAATTCGTACAGCATTGTTATTGAAATGGCGAGATCATCATCAAGATTCAATTGGGAATCTCAATCTGATTTTTACCCACGACGATCATTCTACGGGCACAGAATTTGTACGGCAGAGCAAATAGTAGCGTGCGCACCTTGAGACGATCTGCCGTAGTCAAGGCGCAATTATCAACCAGCAAATATGCCCTAAACAAGGATGGTCAGTTGTGCAGCTGCCACATCAGATTTCTATGAGCCACTTAGCTCATATGATCTTCAAAACAATCCGATCCTAGGGCTGCTGTAAGAGAAATAGAGGGAAGGATTCTTTTATACTGTGACTATCATCCATATCTGCGACTTACACACTCAACGAGGATGATGAAACATAGTCTTCCAGCTGTCCACGGCGAATCCGGAATGCCGTGTATTGAATCTACTAATGAGCACGAACAAAGTTCGTCCTGGCCTGTCTCGACCGTTTCAGCCTCGGGAACCCAGGCGTCAAGTCAAACAATGCAGCCTTGAAAGATAGCTTCTTAGCCTCGGGAGTAGAGAAATATGCACCAGGATGGCGCAATCAGCCTTGTCGACCTCTCGAGGTAGGCATCCAGCAATCATCTTCATCCTACTTCTACACCTGCTGTAGCTTGAGGAACCTGCTTGGCTAACAAAATCCAGAAGAAAATATTCCTTACGATGTGACGCTGGATTATGTGAGGGAATTTTGTTGATATACGCTGAGAGTAAAGATTGTACGACAGTATACATCAATGTTGTGGTAGGAGAAACATGTTCGCGACCGCCACCTTCCTTCGCAGGTTGCATTAACTGGAATAATTCTGGAGGGCCACATTCAAGAAGTCTGAACATACCACTATCATTGATTGTCAGACATCAAGATGTTTGACCAGCGCCGTCCGTTCATTCATCTCCCACCAACCTCACCTCTTATCGACTTCGTCAACAACTGCAGACACTGCTCAAACAGATCACGATTTGGAACCAAGCAAGGGCACCTCAATGATAACCCACGAAACCCTTTTTCCAATAAGCCGACCGACGGGCTACAGGCTCTAAATCCAATTCACAACCCACCATCTCCGAAAGAAAGCGCCAAATGGGCATCATCCTCGCATTTTTTCCTGATATTTAGTCGTATAGTGGGAACAGGTATCTTTGCGACACCGAGCACGATCTTCTCGCTCCCAGGTAGCGTCGGACTCAGTCTGTTCATATGGGTTGCAGGTATGATCATCGCAGCCGCTGGGATGGCAGTGAACCTGGAGGACGGCGGAGAGAAGAATTGTCTCGAATTTGTACACCGGAAACCAAATATCTAGCGACAGGCTTCTATACTGGGTATGTTGTTCTTCTGGGTAAGTCCGCAGAAAAACATTAAGCTCATCGTAATGCCATGAAGCCTACTCAGCACACTATTTTTCTGGGAACGTTGAATCTTTGCTGATGGCTTCATACACTTCTAGGCCGGACAGGCTCCAATTTGAGAATTTTGGTGAGTATATTCTCCACGCCGCCCAAGTTGAGGTGAATAGGTGGAATAAGAGAGGAATCAGTGTACAGCACTGCTACCTTTTTCATCCACGGTTGTGTCTTGAAATGGGGTTTACGTGTGCCAAAATTTACTGGGTATCTTCAAGTGGATCATCATGTTTCTGATTGTGGTTTCTGGTTTGGTATGTCTACAACGATGACAGATCTAGAAGAGCCGTTGAGCTGCCTGCTGACGTGCTGTTCGACTAGACTGCTCTAGGCGGAGCTCTCAAAGTCGACAAAGCCCAACAATTTTGGAGATGCTTTGCCGAGACAGCCGGAAGCGCATAAGTCCAGTTAATCCGGCTTCTTCAAATCCATTGAGCCAATGATATCCAGCGACGGCGTTGTGACAGCTCTGCACCATGCGATTTGGAGTTACATAGACGACAGCGACGTCAATTACGCTCTCAGCGAGACGAAGAGTCATATTCGGATCTAAAGGTTGCTGCACCAGCCGCATCGATTACTATTTCAATTCGGTATATACTCATCAATGTACGGCTATCCCCCTGTCTCCTTCCCTCGTCAGGACACATTCTGGCACCCTCGTTCTTTCAGAATGTCCTCGGCCACAGCGCTGAAAGAGCACTTTCTTGTTTTGTTGCGTTACCTGCATTCAGGAATGTTCTCAGTGTCATCTTCTCCCAAGGTCGGTGTAAGTCGTAATAATCATCCCGCGCGGTTATGATCCACTGCTTTGAACTAACGCTGTCTTCTCCTAGGTCAAAAGCTAGGTCGGGAATGCATCTTGCCATTTTCACACTTCGAGGCGAACAAACCATTCAATACCTCTCCCACAGGTCTGTTCGAGCACTGGCTTGTTTCGGTGATCATAATGCTTGCTCCCCCACCCGGCAATGCTTTTTAATTTCATTCTGAAGTGAGTGGCGATTCCTTGACTTAAACGTCCGCGGAAGAGACACAGTAGAGAGGATTAAGGCCGCGAGTAACACGCGCGATACCGATCTCTCCAGTGGGATAGTAAATACGATTGATGCCAGTGGGTGCGAAACCAATTGGTGCACCTAACTTATGGCCAAATAGTTCGGTTGCTTGTATCCCTTGTGTTGGTGTCAACGAGCATCCGAGGTATTAATTGGTAGCCATAAAAGGCCGTACGACTTGGAAAGTGCGTCCAGTGGATATCAGCGCTGCATGAAGAAAAGTTCTGCTTGATCTTGCGCCGTCCACGCTCCCAGTCTGCCTCATACCCAAAGTTCAAAGTTCGGCCTTGGTCTCATTCCGCATATTTCCCAATTGCTCATTCCTCCTGAGGGATTGTTCGATGTCATTTGCTGCCACCGGCAACACTCAAAACTCCCTCTCGCTTATCTCGTTCGAGGCAGACGACTCACGTGGCATTCTAGTTCAAGCTCGAGTATGGAAGTCGACATTTTCCCGCGCTGGAATTTAGATATGAAGCGACAAAAATGTAAACGAATGGCTCGAAGAGTTGTTTGTTCTGACCCAAAGAAAGTACCCGAGGGTGATGAGGCTGAGACCCCCGGATTACTGGTGGATGGTTTCACAGGTTCACATTACTTAGCTACGCTGATCTAGTCCCGAAATTTTACGTCAAACAGCCAAAGGAAAAGAGCACAATCGATCTAAGCGAGATGATTTTGAACCATCTCAGTGAAAAGCCATGTGTAAGGCCAGCATTGGAGCAGCTCAAGCCGTCATCACTGACGTGGCATATGCACAGCACGTTGATAGGGTGTAAGCCCTCCTCATCTACTGTCTTTCTACCGCTTTTGTGATGATTTGCATCCCAAAATGGCAAACCTGTCGCAACCTACAAGATCGTTGCCATTTTGGCCCTGTAGTTGCACATTGACATCAAAAGCACTTCCTCTCCTCGAACTCTATTCCTCCTGGGCTAGCTCTCCCCCATGAGACAAACAATCATGCAGGTTTTCCAGTCAAACTGTTCATTACCTTCCAGCACCGGAATCTCCCAATACATCTCCAGCCCCAACATTCGCGGCACGCTCGACATTCTCTGGACCTGCATCAGCCTCATCCTCCTCTGCACTTGGAGCATCATCCACCTGAACGTTCCTATCGAAACCAAGCCCACCACCTCTAGCGAACACTTCCACCACGAGGCCTATCTCGCCGCCCGGAAACTCTGGTGGATGTTTATCAACGTGCTGGCTCCTGAGGTGATCATGGGGAAAGCTGTGATGGATCTGCTTTCCGCGCGGAGCGCGAATGGACACTTGAAGTCTTTCGCGAGCAAGGATGACGTAGAATGGAGCCTCTCGCACACGTTTTTGGCCAATATGGGCGGGTTCGCGGTGGATTTTGGGAACGGAAACGGTCGGCGTGAGGCTGAGATCCCAACTCCGCAGGGACTACGTCCGCCCATTCCTCTAGGGGAAGGTGTTTCTGGTTCAACTACAGCAGCTACCACAGATGACTTAGAGCAAAACCGACCTGCAGTCAAATCAATCACTGCTGTCGCATCTTCGACTGTATTGGAAAGCAACGATAAAGTCGGTGTTGCAGAGCGAGATCATGCTTCCCTCCGCCTCCGCGAATTCTACGCCGTCCGCATGTCCCGCTCCCGCTATCGCTACGGCGTGAACCTCTGGTCGAGTCTGGCTATGGGTCGGCCACGATGGACCAGTGACGACCGGTTCCTCCCTCTGATACAAGAACTACTTTCTCACGTCTCATGGTTGCACGTCGGGCATCAGAAATACACTAGCTACTACTACAACCTCATGGCTCTGCGAGGCCACGTGTGGATCCTGGACGCGCATCAGTTGCTTTACGCTAGGGAGCATGGGTTGATTGCGAAATTGCCGCAGATCTCGGAGAATGAGATCGAAGACAAGAATAAGGGCGATCCGATCGTGAAAGCTTTGGCGATAGTTCAGGCCCTGTGGTTGGGGATTGAACTGATCATGCGATGGGTCCAGGGCCTGCCGAGCAGTCAGCTGGAGGTCATGACGCTGGCGTTTGCGGTGTGCAGTTTCCTTACATATTTGATGCTGTGGAGTAAACCGAAAGATGTCATGACACGGGTGCATGTACCGGCCGTGAAGGTGCCAACGGTGGAGGATATCGGAACGTTGGGAAGACTCGGTCCTACGACGATTTGGTACCTGCGAGCAGAGTCGTGGATTCCGAATAATGGGATACATTATTTGAACCTCGACGAGAGCAGGTGGATGAAAAGGATAGCTGGAGGCGTGCCGTTGCGGATTGGATCGATAGGATCTGTCATTGGCGCAATGGTCTTTGGGTCGGTGCACTTGATCGCGTGGAACTTTGATTTCCCGACTAAAGGGGAGCAACTGGCCTGGAAGATTGTGTGTATTGTGACCATCGTCACGCCGATCGGTATCGGTTTATTGATGATGTATGGGGTAGTATTGGGCAGATGGGTCTTTGGATGGACGCTCTGGGGCGTTCTTAAATTGATCATGTGGATCATGGGAGCGTTGATGGTGACATATTGTTTCGGGAGAGGATTCATTATCGTGGAAGCTCTGCGGTCCATTTTCTACCTTCCTAGTGGCGCATATGTTGCGACGGAGACGTGGAATGTTCCGCACCTGGGTTGAGAATTTGTTGGTGGCCGTTACGGGTAGCATGGAGATCTATCTCGTAGCCAGCATTGTCTCTTTGTAAACCATGTGGGCAAGCTTTCGGTGCCCAGGGGCGATGCAAATGTTGGCCAATCACGTGACTCATTGCTTGGCAATCTCACGTGATGAAGTTGGCTTGGCAATATCGCAATTTGCACTATTCAGTCTTGCTCCCTTGTTAGATAGAACAATAACGCATTCCTTCAGACTTCACAGCCTGTCAAGGTCATCCAAAGAATGGTTCCGGTAAAGATTCTCTGAATCCTTCGGAACGGTGGCAGATGCTGGCACAGCCAACCGCATCCCCAAAGTGAGTATCAATTATCGCTGTACTCATTGACTAAAGACAAACGAATCTCACTGCTAGAGACAAGTACACATCCAAACCTCGGGCTATTGGTAAGTGCTATATCTCAGGGCTTTGTGCAAGAACCAGTGTTCCTCGGTGCAGATGGATCTTGTTTAGCTGGATTGGCTCATGCGAGATCCAAAATGGACCACAAGTCAGGGGTTCCCATGCAGTCGACCATTTACCCGGAGCCATGCACGTGGCCATGTCCTAGTCCAATGATCAAGGATATTGGCAGCTTTGATCATAGTGCCATTATCAGACTTGTCCAGAGTTGCCGGATTTCGAGGGAATATCATGTCAAATCAAAGGTGCTCAGGGATCTCATCAAACAATTCACGAGGATTTATGTCTATCATACTGGTAGGGGGAGAGGGAAAAGGGGGGCGCCGACAGCGGCGGCACGCAGTATATATGCTGCAGTATCATGGCTCTCGGTGTGGTGTTGCCCTGGGTATGTAACATCATTAAGGCGCGGACTGTATTATAGAAGTACAGATGAATCTCATCGAAATGATCTCAAAGGGCGGTGATGGAGCGTGTCGAAAGGGGTAGCCAGTTTATGAAGTGTTCAGCTGATAACATCATTCAGGGACCTGTATGAGGTAGTTACTCCGCCGTATTGTGCGCAGCGGATATGTCCCCGGGATTGGCTAAACACCCTTTAAATTGTGGATGATTTCACACCCGCCATTTTTCTCATCTAGACCCAAGACCATGAGTTCTTCAGCTCTGCGTCGGCTGGTGCCGACAGTCTCGAAGCTAGCTACACAGAGAGTCGCTCTCTCATCCTCATCAGTGTCGCTGCAATCGAGTCAATGGGCCTGCTCTTCCCGGAGGCACTTCACGGCGAGATCTGCTCGTAGGTGGTGCTGAGCCAATCCAGTCTGAAACTGACCGGATTTGCAGAATATGTGAAGAAGTACACTGAAGACCACGAATGGATCGAGCTTGATACGGATGGCAAGACCGGTACTGTTTGCAACCCCGTTCCCGCTGGGATCATCTACTCACGCGAGTTCTCAGGGACCATTGGAATTTCTGAATACGCAGCCCAGGCGCTCGGAGATGTCGTCTACGTCGAGCTCCCCGAGCTAGGAATGGATGTGTCCCGAGGTGACACGATCGGCGCAGTTGAATCTGTCAAGTCCGCATCGGACATCATGACCCCAGTGTCGGGCAAAATTACAGATCACAACAAGATTTTGGAAGAGAAGCCCGGCACCATCAACAAGAGTCCCGAAGCCGAAGGTTGGTTGGCAAAGATTGAAGTCAGCGATACAACGGAGTTGGACAACTTGATGTCGAAAGAAGAGTATGACAATTTCGAAAAAGAATGAACATACCCCCGAGCAATCTCCTTCGGTAATGGGCGTGTGTTGTTTGGATAAGGCCTACGACCTCCTTGGGCGAGTGGCACCCTTGGCCGTCGATTCCAAAGACGATAACCGATTTATGGTATTGTTTATGAAGTACATAGGAACAGCCAGATATCCCACCCCGATTGTTCGCCGTCAACACGCGCAAGCCCGCAATTCGTCCATTCCGCGTTGTGTCTCCCGTTGGTCGCCTTGCGGCCGATATGAATATTTGCCAATCCCCCCCCTTACTGGTCGTGTTGTCCACTCTCCCCGTGGAAGCCACTGGTTCGCGTGTCTTCAATCGTGTGACGATGTTTCTCCGGATGCACCTCGATGTCTGCCTCGAATCCGTCGTCACTATCGGCCTCACCCAAGAATGCCGCGTTGTGAGCATCCAAACTCTCCCTCTTATCTCCTTCTGCAGCTCGAAGCGCTTCGAAACCATCGTCCGAGTCGGCTTCGCCCAAAAATGCGGCATTCTGTGCGTCCATGCTTTCATGTTTGTCTCCCTCTGCGGCTCTCTGTACTTCAAAAGCATCGTCAGAATCAGCTTCACCCAAAAATGCAGCGTTGTCGGCTTCTAAGGCCGGTTGGCGACGGCCATATGTGTCCCGGAAGGCCTCGTGGCCATCGTTGCTGTCCGCTTCGCCGAGGAATGCCGAGTGTTTGGTCTCATTTACGTCGTCGGCTTGAGCAGGTCCAGCGGGGGAGGGAGGAATCTGATTGACCATGCTGCTCGAAGTGGGTGTTGAAGTCGCCACCGTGGATGCAGGTCTGGCCGCAGATACGCAGAGACATCGTCGAGCGGGAGTACGGCGTGGAAGAGTCAAGACTCCAGATCTGGCAGCTGAGGCCAGGCCGAGGAACAGAGGACGTGTCGCCATCGTTCAATTCAATTGCATTTACTCAAGCTGAAGGGTGGTATTTGAAGGTCAGTTCGTCCATAAATTCATGGGAGGGAGCACTGAATCATCATCGTCAGCAGCCAGCATTCAAGGTTTGCAGGTCAGAGCTCCTGTGCTGAACGAGGGGTTGTGCTCATCACCTGATAAGGATACCTTTTTCGTAGAAGGTTACCCTGTTGTATCACATTGTACATCATTTGCTGAGTGAGAGGTCTCTCACAAGCGATTGTGAGCAAGCAGGCCAACCGTCTTTGCGGGGAAAGCTGGGGTTCGGCCCACGATCGTGAGTGGAGGGAGGGGCGTGACCGAATGATGGGATTCCGAGCTCTCCGAACCGCCAACTTGAACACGATGGCACTGGCCATCTGGCGAATGAATCCCACACATGTCGATGAACAAGTTCGCTTATAATTACCTGCTCGAAGTATTCGCTTTGCTGAGTCTGACAACGAAACCTGAGTCAAACAGCGGGGAATTTTGACGCATTAAGTGTTGGCAGTCCACATTGGGACTAGCCTAGTCACGTGCACCGCAGCCTTCGTGGCCTTTTTCTAGGGGTAATGTTATTCTGTACACCACATTTTGTTATTCTGTACACCGCCTCTGATTGGTCCGGATTTTTGTTTTTCCGGTTATCTGCGCAATTCGAAGATACGTGATGTCGCAACATCTAAGCCTGTACAGAACGTAGAACGTAGAACGTAGAATGTAGAAATGATGGTTAACGATGGTATGCTCTATATAAATCCGGCTGTGGAAGCCACGAATCGGCATCAATTGCTCTCATCTAGTTCATCGAAGTGCCTTTTGCGTCTACGATACCTATAAGACCTTCGTAGACTTTGCTGGGGCTCCACAACAGTCTCGAAAGGCTCCTCAAGGTGGTGGTTAACATCAGGATTCACAGTTGTAGATTCTGACGTTTCAAGAAGTCGTGGATCGATGGCCCCATATTTCCGCCTTTTGTCTTGTAGCCACAACTGATTCAGCACGATACTCTTACGAATTGCTAGTAAATCGTTCCTGGCCGACTTACTAACAATCCTGTCATCCTTTAAATCTGCAAAGTAGTCCTCCTCGTCGCTTGACCACTCGAAATTCTCCTCAGGACGATGTTTAAAAGCCTGAGGGTCTGGACACCACGCTGTTTCATTCTTCCACTGACGAGCGAATGATGCACCGCCTAGTCCGTGATATTGCTCCCAGTTCACGAGTTCCGAGGCCATACGAAAGCCTCCTAGTTCGATGTCGTCACCCATAGAGATGTGATATAACGGAAGAGGTGTTAAGTCGTCTAGAGGCTTTAATATCGTCTCAATAGAGGCCGGGTGGTGCGTTATACGAGGTCGAGATTCTGATGCCTCTTCTTGTCGTGAGGAAAGACTAGAAGTCGTCGTCGATACTTGTTGAGAAGACTCTATGGTAATCCGGCGTTGATTAGGTAGTATTTGGTTCATCTGAGAGTCTTGAGTAGATACGGAGAGACCCTCATTACGCACCACCTCAACCAATGATAATTCACGTTTATTTGACTTTGCCTCGAGGCGTGATCTTACCTTTACCGGATCTTTCAGTAGATATAGAGGGTCAATTGGCGGTAGCTTTTTGAGGGTTTCAAGACGCCATTGAGCATGAAAGTCATCGATTTCTAGAGAGGCACGAAGGGCCTTTCTTTGATGATAAAGATGAGCGCAAGGGAGACCCCACTGACGAGTAAAGCGATTTGTGCAACAACCGATACCAGCAAATGGTTGTCGCTTGAAATACTCGACGTGCTCTAACACCTTCTTTAGAGCAAATGAGGAAATCCTGGTATGAAGGCCGAAGAAGACGCTGTCATGACGAAGTCGTAAATCGATTCTAATTCGCTCGTCAGCGAGGCGATGCTCAGTTTGCTCGTTCAGACGCTCGTTGTAGGCCTGAAAAGTTCTAATCGCACCCCGGAGGTGCGATTGTCTATGCGGCAAATCGCTCTTCACCGCTTTATGCATACTCTCAACTCTTGATGTTGTCGCGTTCCCGAAATGCATAAAAAACGATGTCCACGCCTCGCAAAATCGCTCTTTACAACTCATCCAAGTGTCTCTGAGATAGACGACGACCTCTTTATTGTCCTCTATCCATTTGGTGTAAAGATTTCCCCATGCGTTGTCGCACTCGATCTCTGAAGTCGCGTAAATAACCTGGCGCCAATCGACGAGTAGAGACTTCCACATATTGTCGACTTGAGACTTTCTCTCCGCGGCGGACATATGACCTTGCTGATTGTCATATTTCCTTCGCCACAACACTTTACAATGCGCTTCAACGTCGTTGTTGACGTGCCAGACGCAAATTAAGTGCGGAATCTGTGGCCAGACCTCTTTAAGGGCCGCTAGAAGGCCTCCTGCCTTATCTGTCGTTATCGATGTCGGCGAAGGAAGACTCATCTTTATATAGAACTCTCGTAGCCAACGCAGCACGAATACAAATGCTTCCTTGTCTTCATTGCTTAGAAATGCTTGACCAATGACGAACGAGGTGTTAAGAGACGTCATACCAATGATTTGACAGAGGTAGAGGCCGTGACGATTCGTTTTGTAAGTGCAATCAATTGCTAGAGCAAATGGCCATCGTCGAAGCAGCTGTAAGGAGGAGTATTGAAAGAAGAGTATATGTACTAAATGATTATACTCGTCCAGAACTTCCTGATGAGCAAACGCGCCGTCAAGATCTCGAATTAACGCCTGAATTGCTGGTAGACCTTCATCAAGAACCGCAGAGTATCTATATCGTTGATTGCGCACGTCTTGTAGAGTGATTGGAGTGGTAGGATTCATTTTTCTGATGGAGTGCCATGATCTCTTGGTTTCGATACCTACTTCAACATCCGCGTGAATTTGTTGAAGGATACGAGGCTGGGCCTTTCGAGCATTACGTCGATGTACCGCAAACACTTTGCTTTCGTCGGCGGCGACGTGATTATGCGATCCTTCAAGTAATTCGAGAACCCATTGTCTCGTCTGGTTCACCTCCTTCAAACAAGCCCGAAATTGACAAGGATTCTCTGCAATTAGGCTCTTCGATCGTCTTTTTCGATTTGGTGTTGACACCTTAGTGGTGTTGCGTTGTCCACCTCGGACACAGTTTATATATTGCATCACAACTCGACCATCGCGCAACTTGCGAGTATGTTTTTTCACCGCAAAGCCATTTTCTTTTGCGAAAGCTTGTAGAGCCTCGAAGGCTAAATCAAGAGAATCCCACTGAAGTTTTTCGCCGTTTTGATCGAGTGTTTTGGGGGCAGGAATTTCAATCTCGTCGTCGAATGAATCGCTAAAGGATGGGCATGATACTGGCGGAGCGCTCTCAACATCAATTGGGTTTTCGGCGGTTCCTGGAGAGAAACCAGTCCAGTTTTCGGATACATCGCTTATAGAAGATAGAGACTCTCGAGCACTCTTGAAATCGTCATCATCTGAGCTGAATTGGTAGAATTCTGGTGTTGAAAAGCGAGGATTTTGAGGGGCTTCCATAAGTGCGATAAACTGTGGTTACGCGAGAGCAAGAAGGCTGTCAATAATTCACAGAGTAGAGAATAATACACAGAGAAGCTCAAATGCACGGTATTTATCTACTAAGGAAAGAGAATTAAATGTGTTTATTGCTTCGTAACCACCTATAACGAGGAGAGTTTAACGCGTCAACCCTTTACAGCTACGCCACTTACTAGTGTTTTCTCGCCGTCGCCAGGTCAACGGCGATAAGCTCTGTTAGTGCGGTGTACAGAATAACAGGATGAGAGCGTTAAGTGTACAGAATAAGGCGAGAGAGAGGTGGTGGTGTACAGAATAGGGAGAGTTGAGGCATAGTGTACAGAATAAGCAGGTTTTCCGATGTACAGAATAACAAAAGTCGGTGTACAGAATAATACCCCCCTTTTTCTAGCTTGCACCTCGCTCAGATAGATTCAATCAATCAATCTCAGAAGCGAATCACATATTTCACCGATGTCTATCTTAACAGTCAACTCAACTCTGGCTTCCAACCTTTCCAAGATTCTTCGCAGTGTCACTCAGATCGTCCAGGCTCACCATCTCGACAGTCCCAAGGTAGACTGGTAGGCATTGCTGGAGTTCGCCTTCACCAGAACCGTTGCTGCCCCATCTCCTGTCAAGGCTCGCACCGCAACTTCGTCGATCTTTCTTTGCATCGAAATATGCCTCAGCGCCCAACTGAAGGCAATGCCCCTTTTTGGTCTCTCCAACATCAATGGCCGTCACTCGGTATCCCATGGCCTTTGCAAATTAGATACCCGACGCTCGCACCCCTCCTCCCCCTTTAGGGGTGGCTATCCGTTGGCCGGGGGCTGCTTCACTGACTTTGATGGCTTTATATGCCGTAACCCGGCGGGACGGTATTGGTGCTATCAGTTGATCGAGAACACCCTCGGGAAGTCGAATCATGTCCCTCGACGGTACAATCGCGTACTCCGCAAAAGTGCCATCCTTCTTCAATCCCGAGCAAAGCATCGCCAAGTGTCGTGTTTCGCCTCCAGGGCCAAGACAGCAAAAGCATTTCTCACATATATCTCGAACCGCCGGCGATGCCAACCATTGCCCCGAGGGAGGTCATCCTTGAGGCCGCATCAAGCGTTTCGTCTTATGCATGGCGGGTAATGATCGCCTCAGATGCCTAGTCAATTATGCTGTGACATACTTTACTCGCAAATCGCTGCTCTGTTTCGCTTTTATGCCAACTTCGGACATCCTCAACCTACCGTATAAAATGACAAACATATTGCGTTTCCTTCGTACTTAAAAGTCAGTTAGCTTCGTCAATGACAGCAAGGTTGCTTGCAAGCGGTAAAAGCAATGACAAATCCAACGTCTCAAGCTCTGGGCGAGGGCGAAGAGTCCGTGGATATGACTGATCATGTCACAAACCGCGTCGATACATGATGCTCTGTACAAGGTTTCTTGCCGGCCCGTGTGGTAAGAGCCACGATTGTTGGAATCAGACGGAGACTTGCTGATAAAGTTTTAGCGTAGGATTATCATGGCAAGACTATAGCGTAAGAGAGATAAGAATTAGTCGGAGTGCGAAGCGATACCCGGAGGGAAGGGAACAAAGGCCAAAGGGACCACACTCACGGATCCGTAAGCCGCCATGCTGACTTGCTCTGACTGCAGGGTGCCCTTTTGGTCGTGGAATCCAAACTTGTCCTTGGAGGAGAACCGAAGGTGGGCTGACAACGACGCGTGCCACTGCAGCTGCTCCTCTCGAAGAGCCTCCACAGGTAATTGTTCGGTAAAGATGCTAGCACTTTCAGTCTCTCTCGAAAGATTCACCTTGAACGGCGGTCAGCGTAGATCGCATGATCTTCAAGATGATTTTGGTACAAGTTGCACTTACAAGCTTCAATATTCGCCGAATTACATTCGCTACCTCTACTACAGGGGCGGATGAAACCAATGGGAAATCGTTCCACATCCGTGCCGTCATCACCAATCAGCTGGAGTTGTCAATATGAGAACTTGAGGAGATGCTCGACCAGTGCACCTGATCTGCAGGATAGCCGTTCAAAAATGGTGGTGGACTGCACAGTCCTTGTGCCACTCGAAAGTATAAAGATTTCTTTGCGTCATGGTTGACTCTCACCGGTTGATTCGAGACAGCACAAGATGTAATTTGCTGAAACAATTTGTGAGCAAGTATCATTAACTAGACTGGTCACGAACAACATCCTCCGCCAGTGCATTGCTTCCAATCGAAGACGGGAACGTGAAGACAGAATTGTGGCCTTTTCTCGAACACTGATCGCGCAGCAGAACGCCATCACACGGCTGCAAGTTAAGAGACTGAGGTTAGGACCGGAGCTGGCGCAGGCAGCTTGATTCTTTTCTCTCGACATCGCTCACAAGGGCCAGGCGTCTTCTTTCAGACCGATTTGAGACGTTTGTCCCTGGGGGGCTGGATGCGATGTTAGTTGGAGCTAATTTTGCTGACATGATGAGTCCACGGCGACTAGAAACGCTGATTGATGAAGAAGTTGCTTCTCGTAGTTGTCCGATTCTCTACCCAATGGTTGCCAGCAAAATTTAGACACGCTGTAGAACTTGGTTGGCCAAACAAGCACAGGAAGGCAATGATTAAGCTGCGCGAGGGGGTGATTTTGCGCCTGGTTCTTGGTGTGAGAACAAGTGTGGTGGAAGGACGGTGACGGCAACCGAGGAAACTCTTTGGGCCCCCCTACACCTCCACAGGCAACAATTTCCTCGGGCCGAGAACATCTTCTTGATTACCTTGAGGTTTGCATCTCTCATTCTAGAATCCAGCAATCGCCACTGGACGCACATTGTAAGGGGTGGTCAAGCTGATCTCGGAAATCCCGCGAGCCAATTAGATTTGATTTTCGTCAACCAAGAATCGTGCGAGGACGTCTTACGGCCTCCCTGATTCCTTGGGGTGTTTAGCGAAACACGTGGATGATTGGGAGGAGGATCATAGGTTTCATACTTACTGGGAAAAAGGTAGAATAGGGCGGAGAAAGGGGGCAGGAGATGGAAACAAGAAATGGGAGCCGCAGGGTCATCAGAAAAATCAACAAGGCAAGGGGCACGATGGAAGATCCAACAATGTCTCTCCCCTTTTACGATTTGTCTTCTCGCACGGAGAAAAAGAGGGAGCTAGAATGGGTAAAGGCAAAGAAAGAGCCGGTTTCAAATTTGGGCCTCCAAAAACTGTGGCGGCGAGAACGAATTCCCATGCTCGACAACCTCTGCTATGACCATCAGACCGACGTCAATCCAGAATCGTCGTCAGTTTCATGGAAAAGACATCAAATCGCACTATGTGGTTCGCCATTCTCAGTATTCTAGCTCTTTGGAAAAGCCACAGGCACTTCAGGCTTGATCATATAATTGGTGAGCGGGCTTTTCAGTTTGCTTCCGACCAGTACAGCGTTATGAGAGTACATGAAGATGTCAGGTTATACCGTCGATGCCTCGCAGATCCGGATAGAAACAGCCTGGTAATGGCACTCCACCATTTCAGCGACTAATGCTCGTAGGAGTGTTCCAATGTCTTACCCGGACTGTTCACAGACCCAAGAGTTTCAAAATGTCTTTCTCGAGGAGCCAAGTTCGAATGGCTTTGCCGCGGAGGTAAAAGACAATGGTGGACAGGTACACAACCACGCTCACGGCGCCAATGGATAAAAACACGACCAAAGGCCCGTCATCGGTCAGCCAGTCATTGGCTACCCAAGTCCAGATCCAGGCAATGGCAGATTTGAGCGACGCAACAGTCACCATGAGCTCGACTGACAGCTCTTTGTGGCAGTCCAGAGCGTAATTCATGCCCAGTGTCGCTCCCATTTGAGCACCAGTACTCAAAACGCCGATTCCAACGACGGGCCCGGCCCAATGAGTTTGATGCGTGAAGCAGAGACCGGCCATGAGGGCACCAAAGAAGGTCAGAGCAGCAGCGACAATGCAGGTCGGCAGACGCATTTCGGGTTCCCGAATGCCATGGTTGCGACGGGTGTAGTAATTAGCGATGCTGTCAGCCATTGGTCCACACAGGTAAGTGCCTATTAGTGAGCCGACCAAGGGGGAGAGAAAGACCAGGCCTTGTGACTCTGAGTCGAAAGAGTAGGGCCTGGAGGGCATTCTTCCGTTAGCACCCGATAGAAATTTGGGAATAGACGGGGGCAACTCACGGTGGAGAAAACAATTGGCCCGTCAGGACAGCCAGAAGGACGTTCCAGCTCAAGGCCATGCCATAGATGAAGCACGCCCAGACTACGGTCGGATAGGCGAGCAAGACAAAGGGGCGCAAGAAGGCGCGCCAGAGGCTGACTTCGGGATCTCCCTGGCCCCAAAAAGCAAGGGCTTGAACGAAGGTCCGTTTCTTTGGAGCTAGATGCTCTTCATCCTCGTGAACCTCGAGGTGGTATGCCCCCTCCTTCACTCCCGAGCTCTCGGTCACATCCGTCAGGATGGATGGTCGAGACCCCAGAAACCTGGTTTCGGGCATGAAGAAAAACATGGTGAGGACGTTGATTCCGATGAAGATGGCGACGATATAATATGCCCAGTCCATTCCCAAAGCCTGGATCATGAAGGCCGAGAGGACGGGTCCGAGCTCATTCCCTCCGAGCACCGAGAGACCGTACATGGCCACCTTGGAGCCTCGGTCATGCAGGAAGAAGATGTCGGTGATGGTGCTGGGAACGATGGACTCGATGGGGGCTTCCCATGCGCCCAAAAACGCGCGCGCAAGGAGTAAGGAAAGATAGGACTTCTGACTGGCGACGCCCAGCCATACGCACGCAAGTCCCATCAGGAAGGTCGAGAGCAGGTAGACCGGTCGGCGGCCATATTTGATCGCGAATGGCCTTTGGTTCAAATCTCCAAGTCAGGGCTACTACACCCGCCGCAGTGATTGATAAGGGGGATATGACTTACATCCACAAAGTGTTGGCCACTCCCTGACAAATCAAGGTGGCTCCCGTGGCGTAAGCCATGTTCCTCAAGGGAACGTCCAACGACGCTGCACCAGTGACCAACCCTAATATTCATTCGCAACGTATCAGTCAAAGGGGTAAAAACACGTCTCCTTCCCTCGGATCACAGAGGCCGGGGTGGAGAAGAACTCACAAGCTGCCATGATCGGCCCTGTCACCGACCCGAGAAAAGCGTAATACAGCCCGTTGCCAAAGGCGGCCCATTTCTTGAGCGTGGACCAGCGTAGCGGATCGTTGGGATCCGTTAAGGATGGCTGTGGGACCAACAAGATGTGACCATCTCCATGTCGGACATGCTGCAGTTTATGCAGCCGCTGGGAGACGGAGCCACGCTCCCCCTCCTGGTCGTAAAGGATCTCGGTGCCTGGTGCAGCCTTGAACGCGGCGGCGATGGTGTCGATGGACTCGACCGGTTCTACAGGTTGAGCCGTAGGCGAGGCTTTTTCAGGGGGTCTAAGAGAGTTTTCCGTCGTCATGCTACCGATGGGTCCTATTGAGTGTGAAATGATGCAGAGACAAAAGAGCAGGAGAGGAAGATTGGTATGATCCGAAGGTGATCACCTCCAGATATTAGTATATGACTATGCTAGAGACTTGCACCACTTTATTACTTCTCCACGGGGTCGGGCCTAGAACTTTCTCCATACGAACTTATCCGGGCCCAGAGTTCAACCTACCATCCTTACCTAACGCCCCTCGTACCTATCCGTCACTTATCCGAAACGAATTTCACTCTTCGACCAGTACGAGGCTTCAGCCCGTCGGATATATAGAGGTTCCGGCAAAACGAGAACCGGAAACCACTATCAAATAGAGTTTAAGGGAGAACGCGAGCTGTAAGGGGTGGACAGAAAACGGGACCATGCGGCCTGTGTCCCATTGGTTGGATACTCCGCGCATTTTCTATTCCGTTAGGATCCGTTTCTACCGAACGCGAAATAGATTAGATATCGAGGTTGCTTTTGACAGGTGTTATCGGAGGAACTTGCCAGGGGGAATAGCTCATGTCGATATTTCGCTAGATCCAATACGATAACAGCATTGGACTCGACCGTTTCTAATGTCTTACCGGGGTTGTTGTGATAATCGAGGTACTCAGTCATAATTGCTCACAAGTTTCAGCTCTAGTCCCGAAGCTGACGTGGCCTGGATTAGGGAAGATGTGTTCGGCCTGCGATAGAGCAGCAGATGACGTTAGTTTCCAATTTCCCTTCCCCCCAATCCCAGTGTTAATCGAACTTCCAGTCGATGTGACCTTGGTACGCGGGACAAGGAAAAGGGGAAGAAAGTCTGCGGAAGATCCGACTCCCCAAATGTGGATGCCGGGTTATCAGCGAGCCAACCAATGTCCTCGCTTCGGCTTCTTGGCTCGTAGCCTGACTCGTCGACGAGGCTTGGAGGGCGAGGTATTTCCGGCGGAATAAACCGCGGCCAGGCAATGAGTTTGTGACCACAATGGCTTATTGGATGATGGAAGTGACGTGGCGCCTATCCGGCGTGCAAGTTTGCGGCAAGACCCGAGCCGCATGCGCAGTGGTTCCATCAATGCATCCAATGTAGCTCGAAGATACAAGTATGAAAATGCATGAAGAACGATAATTGTGAGCCCCACCTCGTGCTTGATGTCGGAAATTTTATTTTTCAGTCGGTACTAATCACTTTGTCACGCCCTTCTCCTTATAACCAGGGGGGTTTCCAATGTCATATATCCATTGTTTGTCGTCATCAAAGAACGAGGTAGCGTCCTTGGAATCATCAAGCACAAAACTCCTCTCTGGAAGAGAACTGCTGCCAGACACGTTCATCGAACAGGGTGCCCCACTGAAAGAATGGTCTATATGGTAAGGTGTGCAGTCCAAGCGATATCTGATCAGTCTCTGGAGGATTTTGGGCTTACTTTTCAGTGTACTGAATCGGTCCTGCAGCGAACGGTGGTGCGAGTTTCTGGGCTGTCCTCAAAGGGTTTCTTGCGATGAAAAGCAACGATTCGTACCGTGTTTGAGCGCCTGATCGCTAATGCGAGACCAGTAACTTCATTGAAAAGTCGGGTAAGACACCCATTCTGATCAAGCCGGCAGAATATATGTTTCCCTGCTGATTGTTTATAACCTGGATTTTCATTTCATCGACCGTACATGGATCCGTTGTACAATTGCCAATAGGTTGCTCTTTATACCCAAGTTAGCACGGTCTAACGGCAGTGAAAGAGGTTCAATTCTACTATGAGAGAGTTTACTAGAGGAAGACGGCTTGCCGACGAGATCGGCTTCCCGTCGAGACCGGCTTCCCAACAATCTCGGTAAGAGAGGCTTCGATGCTCTCAAAGTTTCCCAGACCCACGCCAGCATCCCCTCAAAACTCCAGGCTCCCCCACATCGCCATTTCTCCGCAAGTTCCAACGAATGACAGCACCCGTCCTGGTCTAACCTTGCTTCAGGGATTTTTTTCCCCTCCATGTCTGCTGCCAGCCTCAATTCAATGGCAGAGGCATCCTCTCGCCGGATAAGCCGGGAGCTGACCAGAGAGTATAAAAGGGGAGACATCGAGCGGGAATGACGAGTCTACAGTGAAAGGCGAAGTAGATTTCGTACCGTCTCAGTGGCCGCCGGAATATGTGTGGGAACCGAATCCAGACCTCCGCTGCCATGAAGTGTTTCACATAACGTTGTGCTCGACCATTAGAATCATGACTACTACTGCGAATAACGCGACCGACAAGCCCGGATCTCTCCCTGGCGAGACACTAGGGACAGTGCAGTTACGGCATCAATTAACCAACGAGATCATTTTGGTGCCAACTCCATCGGGTGATCCAAATGACCCTCTGAACTGGTCCGTTCTTGTCGTTACTGGTGGCGTCCTCAGCTTTTTCTCCACCATTCCTACTGACTTGATCAAGGGTGAATGGGCGAAAGTATTACATATTCGCCCTCACTTGCCTCAGCATTTTTTCGTGCAACATTTGTGCACCGGGTCCTTCAGTGGCCGTGGTCGATCTAGCTATTGAATTCTTTGGCGCGCCTGACGATCCCCGGTTTCTGGAATGGGTCGGAAAAATCGCATATATGTTCACAGGTGCTTCGCTCACGATTGGCATCGGCGTGCTCTTTTGGGTGCCTCTTGCTATCAAGTACGGAAGGAGGCCTGTATATCTCTGCGCCTTCTCTCTCCTCACTGCTTCTTGCATCTGGTGCGGCGTGGCCAAATCTTACGGCAGCGAGCTAGCTGCGAGACTCGTCCTCGGAATAGCAGCTGGAGCTCCTGAAATCGTGGCTCCTTTGACCATCACGGACATCTTTTTTCTCCACCAAAGGGGCGCCGTCATGGCGTAAGTAGAGTCGACAGAGTCCACATCCCTGCTGCCAGCACTAATCTCCGTCCGTAGGTTCTATAACTGCGCTCTGTCCTGCGGCGTGGGTGTGGGTATCGTCATCTTTGGATTGGTGCTCAGGATGCAGACCTGGCGTACAATTTATTGGATCTGCACGGCTCTGACCGGTCTCTGCACCGTCCTGATGTTCTTCACATTCCCAGAGACGGCATACAATCGCAATCGCAGCACCTTTACCGGGGATTTACCGGCACGCACTTCGCAGGATTTAAAACGGGAGCAGCTCGATCGCGCACAGGAAGTGGAGGCCTTGCCATACGCTCCTTTTGTGACCACATACAAGAAGCAGTCCTTCGTCCAACAGCTCAAAGTTCTTACTCATGTCTACACGGACGAGAGCCTCGGGCTCCTGGTCTTGCGACCGGTAGTCTGTCTCGCCCTTCCAGGAGTACTCTGGGCGACCCTGATCAACTCGGTCACCATCGGCATGATCGTCGTACTTTCTTCCAATTTTACCGCGGCGTTCCAACAAGCCTATGGCTTTGAGGCATGGCAATCTGGACTCACCTTCATCTCGACCATCGTCGGCTCGCTGATGGCCATCGCCGCTGGCGGACATTTCTCCGACTGGATGGCTGACAAGCTCACGCAAAGGAACAATGGCGTTCGTGTCCCTGAGATGCGTCTGCCGGCGCTCATCATCAGCCTCGTCACTGGGCCGTTGGCTTGTGTCCTTTATGGTGTCGGAATCGCGAAGCGTCTTCACTGGATGTGCGCCGTCATTGGCATTGGCCTAGGTAAGTATGCTGCTCCCGACTTGTTTGTCACGGTGACTGACTCGCGTCGGTTGCAGTCAACTTCACAGTAGTTCAGTCTAACAATATCTCCGTCGTTTACATCTTGGATTCCTATCGCCCTATTGCCGGCGAGGTCGTGGTCACACAGGCCGCTTTCAAAGGTGAAGGTCCTCCCCTTCGTATCACCGCCATATACCTAATAAATTTTGGTAGCCTGCTTCGGATTTCTTTTGAGCTTCTATACCAATCCATGGGTTGAGCAGTCTGGATACGCTGGCGCCTTTGGTGCCATGGCTGGTATTGTCGGGGGGGTCCTCATCTGCTTTATCCCTTTCTACATTTTCGGCGCCCGCATAAGACGTGCGTCTTGGAGGTGGCCATTCATTAGAAAGGTAGCACATTGGTCGGAGGACCGTGAAGTTGGGGAGTGAGAACGTCTCTGCTGTCGGGAACGATTGTATACTTCGAGGCAATGGACTGTGGGGCAAAGAGGCTTTACTGGGAAAGCAGCGTCAACGGAGAGGCAGTGAAGGGCGGAAAACTTAGGGCACAACAGCGGCCGGAGCCATGTCGAGAAAGGCAGCAATGTTTTGAAGTCAGCTAAACAGCCGACAGAGTCGTACCTCACTGAGGCAAGACTTGGAGAAGTTGATCTTAACTGATATATCATGAAACACCCCCCCCCCTTTAATCCCTTTCTCCGTTGTTTGACAGATACTGCCCAGCGCCTACATCAAGTGATAAATGTTTTCTGCTAAAGCGGAGTTCATCCCTGCGAACCTTGTCATGACCCTTCTCAAAAGATATGTGGATAAGTGCCTGAGGAGAGTGAATTGCCGCTGTGAGCCATCCAGCACTACCATCACGGGCAGTCTTTTCCGCTTGAAATCACCGGTACGCCTTGGTCATGACTGATCCACCTCTGGGATTGGATACTTTCATTGTCATCGAGTATGACTTCATCCTGATTGGAGGGAAATGAGAAATTGTCCGAGCGATATGTTCGTCTCTTGTAGGACCTCACACATCCACCGGCAAAGGCTGGAGTGGTAGGCAGCGATAGCGCAGAAACTGGAGAGTTGACTGTGAGAAAGCTCTCGTTCACATTTCAAGCTTCTTCTCTGCACTTTCTCGATCCTACATGGTGGCTTCTGAACGAATGATAACTACTCTGGCCTACAAAATGGCCGCGTATTTGTGCACCACGACTTTTTCGCTGGTGGAATCCTCGCCGAAAATGAGTCCGACAAAAGTCCTAGTATTCTGTCTGCTCTTGGGCATTGTGGTGGAATGTATCAGGCAGAATCTCAAATTCAAGAAGGCTTATCGATTCCCAACCTTGGTTCCCGGTTTACCGATAGTTGGAAACAGTTTCCAGATGCCTGTCACCGGCCAGGGCCCATTCATCCAAAGACTGGCTGACAAGTATGGTGAGATGTATGTATCAATTGCGCAACAATTGATCCTCTTGCTCTGAAAGGCTTTTACGTTGCTTACGAAGCCAGGTTCACGATGAAATTTGGGCGGACGTATTGGGTATTTCTCAACTCCAGTCGAGTGGTGATGAGCGTTGTCTTTGGGCGAAGGTCGAAACTGGACGATCCCGAACTGGCTGAGCTGCTTGGTACAGCTGAAGAGTTTGTTCAATATCTCATTCCGGGTCGTGCATTGGTAGACAGTATGCCGTTTTTGACAAAGATTCAGTGGCTCAAGTCGTGGCAACCGTGGAGATGGTACGGTGATGATTTGTACCGACGCACAAGACAGTAAGCACCTGATACCCTGTTCGCCTGGTATAGTCCGGTTGATGTCATTCTTGAGCACTGACTGGTGTGATCCAGCATCTATAAAAGGGAAATCGATAACCTCCGTCAAAGGCAAAGGCAAGGGATCCAAAAGCCGTGTTTCATGACCGAACTCTTGGATGCTGGGAAGGACAGGGAATTCTCTGAAGATGAGCTTTATTTCATTGCTGGTGCCCTCATGGAAGCTGGATCGGACGCCACACGAGTGGCCCTCCACGAAGTCGTAGCTGGCGCTGCTTTGTTCCCGGACTGGGTCGAGCGTGCGCGAGTGGAGCTTGATTCAGTGTGTGGTGCCAATGGAGAAAGATTATCAGACTTCAGCGATATCGAGCATTGTCCGATAATCAAGGGCGCTGTGAAAGAGAGTATTCGTTGGAAGTAAGAAACTGCTCACCCAAGACGTCCCATGACATTGAACCTGCTCGTGGAAACTCTCGACTGACGAAACCAACTTTTACTGCAGACCCAGCATACCAGAGACAGGAATTCCTCATTTATTGATCAGGGATGACGAGTTTGAGGGGTACAAATTCCCCGCCGGGACCATATTTACCTGAAATCATTGGGGAATTTCGAATTCCCCGAGTGAGTACGTGCATCCGGAGCGATTTTGGCCAGAACGATTCGTGAATCAAGATCTTGGCAATGCCACAAAGGGACACTGGGGTTTTGGAGCGGGTAAGTTGAGCCAGGAAGGTTTCTACGTTCGAGTTGTCATCTGACATGCCGTTCACTCAGGGCGCCGCGTTTGCGTTGGCTCCTCTGTCGGAGTTGGCAATTTATCGCTTGCAATTGCAAGGATGGTATACTGCTTTGACTTTGAACAGGACCCCTCCTGGCCAATTGACACTTCAAAGCCATTCCACGGCGGACATGGCCCGCCTTTCAGCATAATAATCAAGCCGAGGAGCGACTCACATCGAGCTCTTGTCGAAAGGGAATGTAGTGATGCTGCGAAGGGTATTTAGCTAGTGTCAAGCGGGTCCAACTTGAGATGTATTGGAGGCTCTGACTTTTGTCAGCTGAGGGGACAACGAGAGTCCCTATATACTTGTCACCGTCGTTGACCTCGCTGCCACCCCTTTTTCCGTAAACTATCACAGTACTCCTGGTAGAACAACAATAGGTAGGTTCCTTCGTACGATTGGTTGTTCACTTGTCAGACCATTTACAATTGCAAACGTTGTTCGACACGTTGTATTCGAAAATGTCCCGTATCCTGAATTACATGTCGAGAGAACCAAATAATGGTGAGCACTCGATTCCAGTCGGGTTCAGAACCGTCCACAGAGTAGTCACCGGCTTCGAGAAAGTTTTGGACAGCCATGAATCCAGATTGAGACATCGTAACCAGGTATTGGTAGTCGTCTCCGCCTGCGCATGAAGGGTGTTCGACGCCGATCTCTGAATAGTTCGTACCAAATTTAGGCGGGTCAACGTGATGGTGAAATACCCGTATCCAAAACGATAATGTCAGTCAGGAGTTCCAATGGGAGATCTTGGAGGCTCATGAAGTCAGCATCAACGGTTGTGTGGAATGACAAGGGAATAGAGAGTAATAGCCACAACTCCCGAATTCAAGTATTTCCCTGGAGGTGGTAGATGATCTGTGCCTCTTGTAGTATAAGCTGTCGAGTTGATTGGGAAGCACCAGGTCTGATTTCCACCCAACACCTGATACGCCAGTAGTATGTATAGATCGATATCATCTATAGGCTTATCAATAGGTAAGATGACGGTCACATCCAACGAAGACACTGAATTCCGAGATAGGGTAAAAAACTAGGTAGGACAATTGCGAAAGTTTCAGCATATCTTCATCATCTGCGATCAAGTCCCAACTCTTTAATAAAGATGTCTGCTGCCTTTTCGCCAATCGTCAGGGCTGTACTCATCGTATTGCCAGAGACGTTTTCCGGCGCAATACTCAAGTCTGCTACTTTCAGCCTTTGCACGCCATGAGCATTTAAATTCTTGTCCACCACGCCCAGCCGCTCCATTGGACCCATCTTGCATGTGCCGATGGAGTGATAAGCAGTACCAATATTCTCACGAACCCATTGTTTGATGGCCTCATCGTCTTCGGACGAGTATTCAATGTTCGCCTTGGCGCTGTCTGATCCCGGCTCTGTGAAGCTCGACGCATTCGAGCCTTGGAGAAAGTTTGGGTGTCGATGGGTTTCGCCCCGGTAGAAATGCATTCTTCGCGCCACTTCACGTTGCGCTTTGTAAAGCCAAACTTGGGTCTTCAAATCGATATCGTCATGGTCGGAGAGATAGCCTGTTTTGAAGTCGAGAGGGTCCTCAATATTGGGGCCGGTAATATGCTGGACGGCATATTTAAGCATTCTCTTTTGCAAGATTACACGCGGAGCTTGTAAAGGGTGACCGGGGAACTTACCACGTAACCCCTAGAATATGGATATGCGTTATAGCAGGCGATGGAGAAGAATTGTCCTGGCAGCAACAGAGAAGGTTCACCGAGAATTCTGACATTGGTCAGGCTAGGCCAAAAATTCCATCCTTGTAACTCTCTTGCCCTCCCTGTCTACCACAGAAAGTAATGCACTCACCCGGCAACAGAGAACATTAATGCGAGAGGTCTCCTGGGAGCATTTTTAAAGTCCTTATCCCACACCTCACGAAATTCGGAGCCTAAACTGTCAACTTCTGATTCGGTTGGTCGGACTTTCAAGGAAGCGTCGATACCATTCCAGCTGAGAATCTTATCGTTTTTCGCTAATAGCTCCTCAAGATCTCTCGTACCATCGATCAAACTCTCAGTAGTATCCTCTGGGCGCATACTTGACTTGTAGGTATATACTACCATCTGGTGGTCCTGGTAGCCATGGCCCACGCCTGGTAGATCATGAAGAACAGGTACGGCTGCTCGCTCCAAAATTTCATTGCTACCAATACCTGACCTCTCAAGAATCAATGGCGTACTGTGTGTACCGGCCGAAATGATCACAAGCTTTCTCGCTTTGATGGTCTGTGTAAGATTTCCGGTTGCGTCTGCTTGGATCCGAGGATTCGGTCTGTATTCGACCCGGGTAGCTTGCTTGTGTTGATTGAAGAGGACTCGCAAGACCTGCGACTCAACAAGCACGTGAAACCGCATTTGCAGAAAGGAGATCCTGCAAGTCTGAGACTTCGGGATAGCCTATTTGATTCATCGCAGCAACAAAATCGTCCGCGATGGCATCCCCGCGGTAAATTCCACTGGAAACATTGATCGGTCCACTGTCCCCGTGACATCCTTCATCGCCTCGGCCATGATATGTCTCGAAGTGTTGCCGTATAGCGTTGGTCAGGTTCCCAATGGTGTTCACCTTTAACACGTACTTTTTTCAGAAATGGCAGGAGATCGTCCGCTGACCAACCCTCCGTGTTCCAAGAGTCGTAATCGTCACGTTGAGCGCGAGTATATATGGCTCCGTTAATAGATGATCCACCACCAAGAACACTACCTACCACCACGACGACCGCTCGGCCTGACAGCTGCTCTTCCACGGCTGGCTGATAGAATTGGAATGTATGGCTGTCGGGCGTGAAGTTGCCTCGATATAAAGCCGGGTACGTGATCACGGGTAGGTCCTGGTTATTCGGGCCACCTTCGATCACCAAGATGGAGCGTTCGGGATCCGAGTCTGCCAGTCTCGATGCAATGACACAGCCTGCCGTTCCTCCTGAATGGAAGACGTTAGAAAGACCGTCAAGAGCAGCAACCGGATTCCTGATCCTACTTACCCCCGACGATGATGACATCCACTTCGTGGAGCTCATCGGGGAGTGTCGCGTATAATCCCATCGGAGTACGACTTTGCGCTTTGCAAAACGGTTAGAAATCCTTCTTTGGTGAGTAAAAGAAGGGTTACCCGGGGGGAAGCTCCCCGCGCAGGGGCTGCATTGCATTTTATACCTTTGTAGGTAATAAAATCATGGAGACTACCTCCCAAAAGAACGTCCAAGATGTATGTACCATCTAAGGCACTTACATACGGGCATAGCTTGCGTGAGAACCCAACGTTCTGGGCGTAGGGGACGGGAACTTGGGCAGACAACCTAGAACCAGGCCACTGATAGGATAGTGCCAAGTTCTGGGCATATTGTAGCCCAATTTGAGTCAATATATGCCGAATGGTCGTTCCAACAAGATCTGCGTGGGTGGTGGTGTGATTCAAAACTCATCAACGCAAGACCGCCAAACGGTTGCAAGATGGCATAATACTCTGCAACAACATGTCTTGAAAAATACTGGGCTAGGATTACCAGCCACACTGTCAACGGATCCTCGAAACCACTTTGTGGAAAATATTGGTGCTACGTTCAATGCCAGAAGCATGAGTCAGTGGCCCGGGCCGCTTGGATTTGCTGCTCTCAGAGATCCGGCTCTTGTCGAGAATCAATGCTACCTTTGGTAAGGATGCCGATTTGACGGGAGAGTTGGTACAGAATACGAGAAAGTCGGTCTCGCTTTGAACAAACAGATCATCAGAGACATTTTGAAGGGATCAACTAGGGTTTGATGGGATTGTTTGTACTGACTAAGTCTTAACACTGATGCCACCATTCTTGGACAATTCATGCCAGTTCGGGCATGGGGATGTGAGGAGCTGAGTGAACTAGAAAGAGTCAAAAAGATTCTCGACGCGGGTTGCGATCAGTTTGGTGGAGAGTCGACCTGAGTTGATCATCAATCTTGTTGAAGATGGGCATGTTCCCGGGTCTCGAATCAATGAGTCAGTTCGACGGATGTTGAGAGAGAAGTTCCTTCTCGGCTTTTTCGATAATCTCTTTGTCGATGTTGAGGCGGCAAACGAGATCGTAGGCAATCCACTATTTGTCAGGGAAGGAGAAGTGGCACAGAGAAGATCATACACTGTCTTGACCAACAACGATGATACCTTGCCATCAAGACTAGAAGATGTAAAGACCAAGAGAACCTACGTGGAAGGAATTAGCGAAGCTATCACAGAGGCCAAAGGACTAAAACCGGTATTATCGCCTGGTGGAGTTGATATTGCGATTCTTCGATTGAAATGTCCATACGAACCAAGACCAGGAGGATTTGAGGCACTTTTTCACGCCGGTGGCCTTGAATTTCCGGCAAAAGAGAAGACAAGATTGGCAGAAATTTTCAAGGCCGTTCCAATATCCATTGTCGATATGTACCTAGATCGTCCGGGTGCGCCCACTGAGATCGCTGATTGGGCAACCGCACTGATTGTCAATTATGTGAGCAGTGACAATACATCTCTCGATGTGGCATTTGGAGATGCTTCTCCAGAGGCCAAGTTGCTATTTGATTTGCCTAGGTCGACGCCAGCGGTCGAGAAAGGTAGGGAAGATGTTCCTTTCGACACAAAGGATCCTCTCCTCCGTTTTGGGCATGGACCCAGGTCTCATTAATTAGAGTCCCAGTTCCATCTAAATTGTCTGAGAAGAACATCGACTATGCAGTCTTGATGCTTTCTTGCTGGCCCTGGTCATCACGTTGCTTCAATTCCTTCAATATCTCCTTTCTTCTGGCCCTGTCTGCAGCCGCTGCCCGATCATTAAAGACCCGGTCCATATCCTCTAGGCTTCGTCCTTTTGTCTCAGGTACACAGAACCAAGTCCAGATACCGCTCAAGGCACAGAACACTGCAAAGAAAGTGTAGGCTCCGAACCCTCGAGTATTTTGAATCAGAGGCGGTGTGATCAATCCAATAATGAAGTTGTTGAGCCAGTTGCTGCAAGTACTCCATGCCACCCCCTTTGCCCTGAGAAAGCTGGGGAATATTTCTGACGGCATCGCCCATGGGACCGGACCGAATGTCATGCCAAAGACCAGCATATAGAGAAACAAGAACGCCACCGCCACCCAACCTTTGTCCTTGTGATCGGCCCAGCTGTCATAGTACAATCCAACCAAGACGGCGATTACGATATGCGAGACTGTCATGCCCACGCTCCCAAGCAGAAGAAGCGGACGGCGGCCGAATTTGTCCATAGTGTAGAGAGAAGTCGCCACGCCAACGAGTTGTGTGACATTGAGGACGCCCGACAACACCAGTCTCATGTTATAATCGACTCCCATCGTCTCGAAGAGACTAGGCGAGTAATAAATGAGAGCGTTAATCCCAACAAATTGTTGAAAAAACATTAACCCGATTCCGACCATGGTACGACGCCAGTATCCCTGTTTGAAGCAATCTGCATAGGCGGCGAGCTCGAGTTTGACAGCGGCCCAGCAGGACCGTCGACCTTGGGCTCCCAAATTTGGATGTTTCTTCTCGGCCACCTCCTTGTGGAAGGCGACCTCTGCTCGAATATCGAACCATTCGGCCTGAATTCTTGAATCGTTTGCGGGAACACGCCGGAGTTTGACCAATGCTTCCAGTGCCTCTTGATCTCGTCCTTTAGAGACAAGCCATCGCGGAGAGAAGGGAATGAAGAGGACCGAAATACCCAATAAGATGGCTGGGAAAATTTGGAGGAGGAACGGGAGGCGATATGACCATTGTCCGCCAATGTATCTAGTTCCAAAAGTCAACCAGTATGCGCATATGATACCGAAGACGATGGAAAATTCTTCCAAAACTAGCAGAGTGCCTGTTGATTGTTAGTGAATGGTAACGGCGAGAGAGTGTGGCTGAATACCTCTGATCTCGGGTGGTGATACTTCTGCAATATACATAGGCACAACCATGCTCAACCTGTCGATGTCAGTCGCCGTCTCGGCGGCAACAAAGGATCAAAGGACATACATGCCCACCCCAATTCCCCCTATCAGACGACCGACAATGAGCATGGCATAATCTTGAGCAGCCGTCTGAAGAGTGGATCCCACAACGAATATACACACAGCCACGCAAATGGAATATCTTCGAGAAATCTTTTCCGCTACCCATCCCTGGTTGAACGCGCCTGGAAAATGAAATTAGACGATTGCGACAAGAGGAACATGAGGATTCCAAACCGATTAATGCCCCAAGTTCAATCATGGCCGTCATGAAACCCTTCCAGAATCCGCCTCCGCTGGCTGTATCGGAGACACGAGGAAATTCATCCAGGAATTGGTCCATGACAAGGATGATGGAGACCACGCCTTGATCTGTCCGCAGTTTATCAATATATGGTCCTCGAGAAGGTCGACTTTCACAACGTACCGTATCCGAACAGGAATCCACCCAATCTGACGACAAATGCACAGAGAACAACATATTTGGACTGAAAAGCTCCTCGAAATCCTGCCGCACAATTGTTTTAGTTACTAAACCGGCATCGTTCACCGTTCACCAGAAGCATTTTCCAGGGCACTGACCTGGCTTGACATAAGGATTGCGCAACTCGACCATCGGTTCATCGGCAGCTTCCAAATGGCCTGCTGTGGTCCCTGAGAAGGTTTCCTTGTCCATATCGCTAGCACCGTGGCCGGGGGTACTGTGACTGGTCATCTCCATGACTGGGAGAAGCGTGAATGATGGATGTCAGCAAGGAAACACATGAGCCGAAGTTTAATATACCGTTGATCTTCGTCCCTCGAGGCGGTGATACAATGTTGCATCCGTAGGCTTTCGTCTCCCCCACATGACGTTGCGTGATCGGCACAGAAACTTCTGGAGCACTGAAGCTGGCTGAACCAGATTCAGACTGGGTCCACGTCGTCCTACCCAATCGGTTGACTCGACACGAAGTTCCATCTGTGGAGCCATAGCAGGAGAAATTCGGTTTGACGGCACTTGTAGTTGTTTAACGGAAACATCAGGCCCAACACGAATAGACCCAGATTTTGCAATGAGAGCAAAGCCCGCTTTTCTTCGATTGAAATGCATGGAGAGATTCTATAGCAAAACGAAATTATTCCGGGTTAGACAGGTTGTTGTGTATGAGTTAGTGGTACCGAGTGGTGGGGCTAAGGTAAGTCTTCGTGGAGTGATGTAGGATCCTCCTTGATAGCTAGCTAGTGAGTGGGTTGCCTGAATGAAGCCGTTTGTGATTGGTATATCGCAGCCGGCGGAAGTTTGTCATGGTCGAGCTATATCTTTTAAGAGAAGCGTGCCCTGCCCAGGCTCGCGTGAGCACGAGTATGTCCATTGTCCACGCTTATGTCGCAATACAGACCCAAAAGATGGCTGCCAATTTGCTTTGCCATGTGAGAGCTTCATCGAGGGCATTCCATGATACATATTCGAGAGACAATAATGTTCTCTTTTTGTAACAGGTCCACCACGCTGTGAACCTGGATAGCCAGTGTTGGCAACCAATTCGAGTGGTCACTGTCTCGGGGATTTGTTCTCGGCCCTCCAAAGGAAGAATGCAAGAGCTATGACAACTTTCAACATTGCTGCCGTCCACAATGCTCCAGCCAGACCGAAAGAACTGTGAGCCCAAAGCCCACCGAAAATTGCACCAGCCAGAAGCAATATCGGGCCGGCTACTCGGCGATTCCTTTCCGAATTTTGGGATAGGCCTTGCATGAGCAATGGATCGGAAAACAAGTCACAGTAAATGCTTGTCAGCACGACACTCGTGAGACTATTATATTGTAACGCTCGACTAGTCACGGCTTGTCCGCTGCTCTGGAGTGCAACCAAGGCAAGAGGAATCAGAACTTCCCACCGGAGATCGTCACCGTCTTGGGCGTCAATCGTAACGATAATGGCTGCAGCGACAATTAAATATCAATTGTATCGTAAAGGACATGACAAGAGCCCAGCGACGTTTTGGCGAGAAATATCTGTGGAATCGACTGAAGCAGAAGGAGCCAAAACAGAAGAAGCCAATGGAGATGAGTGATCTGATCCATCTTGTCCCTTTGGTCGATTCCACCAATCCGAGTCCTAAATAAACGGTATTCCCAGTCTGCATGTTCACAAAGGAGCCCCATATGAAGACGGCAGAGCTGTCCAGGAGGCCCGTGATAACATGAGAGAGCAGTAACAGGAGATCAGCCCATCGTTTGTCAACGTCATCTTTCATATACGAGCGACAGCGCCCGAGTGAGTCTGAATTGTGTGTTTGGGCCAGCAAAGTGTTGTTTTCATCATTGCCCGAGGCTACTCTTGCCGAGAAATCAGGACATGAGTCTCGACCTAGCGTTCCATATCCATTTGTTGTAGCCATTGTTGCAGAATGAGCACTAGCAAGCTTGTCCCCGTACTAAGCGAACATGCGGATGGGGTGCATGAAGAGGGGAAAGTGTCAGGAGATGAATGGATTGCCGATGATGAAAAACAATCAGCCGGGACACTCTAACGGACTTTTTGTTTTGCGGAAGTCGAGTACGTCATATCGACATGGCTGATCGAGCCACATGGGTGAACGATTACCCGGCTCCCTCATGACAATCTCCTCTTTATTTGACAACTACTTGATTCCCCAGCTTTTTCAAAGAGAGTCATTTTGTGCTCTCTAGCTTATCCAAGATGCAGCTCTGCCTCTGGTCTCTTCTCGTAGGCACTTGTTTGGCTGTCCCGATCCAAGAATGGGGACAACATCCTATCAAGACTACGGAGCGAAATGGCCCTTACAACCCGAAGAATAGAGATCCCTATGATCACAAGGTGGATTCCTATGCCAACGATTGGCAGCCACTTCCCTGGCGAAATGGCGATGGTGCTACCGTGATGGGACCCCGAAACAAGGACCGAGAGAGGCAGAATCCCGATATGGTTCGCCCTCCCAGCACGGATCATGGAAACATGCCGAATATGCGATGGAGCTTTGCTGACTCCCATATTCGAATCGAGGTGAGTTGTGTTCTCGTCGACTTTTGGCCGATATGTTGAAGCGTTGTTTTGTAGGAAGGAGGATGGACTCGTCAAACCACAGTGAGAGAACTTGGGGCTAGCAAAGAGATCGCCGGTGTCAACATGAGACTCGACTACGGAGTCATTCGGGAGCTGCACTGGCACAAGGAAGCAGAATGGGCATACGTTCTGGAAGGCGAGGTCCGCGTTACAGCCCTCGACACTGAGGGCGGCAACTTCATCGACGATCTGAAGAAGGGTGATTTATGGTACTTCCCTCCTGGACATCCTCACTCGCTACAAGGCCTCAGTCCCAATGGCACGGAATTCTTATTGGTGTTTGATGACGGCAATTTCAACGAAGAGTCGACTTTTCTCTTAACCGACTGGTTAGGCAAGTTCAGACGGCCTTGAGATAATGACATCGGGAAACTACTAACATCCTTCAGCCCACACCCCAAAGGCAGTTCTGGGAGAGAATTTCCGCATATCTCCTGAAGTGTTCAAGACCATTCCCAAGTCGGACAAATATATCTTCCAAGGGTCCCTACCAGGATCCATTGACGAGGAGAAGCCCGAAGGCACTCATGTCAAGAAATCGAAATTCCAATTCACCCACAAGATGCTGGATCAAGAGCCCATGAACACGACTGGGGGCCTTGTTCGAATCACTGACTCGACCAACTTCCCCATCTCCAAGACAATTGCGGCAGCCCATCTTGACATTGCACCTGGAGCCATGCGTGAAATGCACTGGCATCCCAATGCCGACGAGTGGTCATTCTTCATCAGTGGACGCGCCCGGATCACCATCTTCGGTGCAGAAGGTACTGCCAGAACCTTTGACTATACGGCTGGAGATGTCGGAGTGGTCCCGAGAAATATGGGTCACTTCATTGAAAACCTGAGTGATGATGAACCGGTCGAAGTCCTTGAAATTTTCCGGGCCGATAAGTTCCAGGACTTTTCCCTCTTCCAGTGGCTGGGAGAAACCCCCAGGAAAATGGTTGCGGATCATATTTTTGCCAACGACAAGGAGGGCGCTGAGAGGTTCTTGACGGAGATTCACAATGCCGAGTATGACCCCATCAGGTCCAAGACTGAGGATTCTTAAGCGCAATTGGCATTATTACCGCCCAAGAGATATATACTCTCAGACTAAAAGGATTGCTAGTGGAAGGGAAACTGTATGGAGTTGCTTTGGTAGCTGGATGGTCGAAACGCATCGCACACTGTCGGTCGGCGGGATATCTGGCAAAACGATTTACCGTCCACAAAAGGCCTTCCATTTGAAGTGGATAGTACCCTAAAGCCACTTGAAGCCTAGAGCTGTGTGTTTGGCCCCGCCGGTAGAAATACTCTGGTGAATTCAGTACTCGTACCAGGTCAAAGATCTCGATGCATCGTAGATCTGGGCTTGGAATTACTCGGGATAATGGTAGATTCCTCTCAGGATGAGTGGGGGATGAGAAATATGTACAAGAAAAGCCTCGGAATTCTATCACACCTGACGATCCAGACTTTGAGCCAGAACCATCTGATAATATCTTCCCCCGCGAGCGATTAATTCGTGGTGAGCACCGACTTCCACAACTCTACCATGATGGAGAACGTATATCCGGTCACATCTCTTGATGGTTGACAATCTGTGAGCAACTGAGATCGTCGTTCTTCCCGGTCCCTTTGCAGCAGCTTCAATTGCTTCTTGGACAATGATCTCGTTCTCAGTGTCGAGGGCACTGGTTGCTTCGTCAAACAACAGGATTTCAGGGTCCCGAATCAGGGCTCGAGCAATGGCGATGCGTTGTCTTTGGCCACCAGATAGTGAAAGGCCACGCGTCCCTGCATCTGTATCATATCCATCGGGTAGAGATTGGATAAAGTCGTGGATATTGGCATCTTTACAGGCTTTGATGAGTCTTTCTTCTGGGGCCGTGTCCTGCGGGAACCCGATGAGCACATTGTCTCGAATCGAGCCTTGATATAACGTTGTATCTTGAGACACCATCCCGATCCGGGACCGATGGAAATGGACGTCAAAGTCTTTGAGGGATGTACCGTTTATGAGGATATCGCCAGATTGGATATCGTAAAACCGCTCCAGAAGACTGATCACGGTAGTTTTACCGCATCCCGAGGCACCAACTATGCCAATTGATTCCCCCTTGCGGATTTGGAGGCGCAGGCCTTGCAAGACCTTTACATCGGGACGAGTCGGATATGAAAACCAAACGTCCTTGAATTCGATTGCCACATCTGAGTCATCGGTTTTGGGAATGGTTTGAAGTCCGGTTGAGGTGTTGATGATAGGCTGTGACCGACACAAGTCAATGATATGGTTCGCTGCCGAATGTGCTTTTGTGGTATCTGTTTCGGGATCAGCAAAGTGACGAAGGATACAAATGCTGACTGACTCAGAGTAAACCCAAACAAAAATCCAGCAGCCTGCCCGCCGAAAATGATGGCAATGAACACAACGAAGAAGACATCGACATCCACTTTGCCCTCTGAGAGAAGTTTGCCTCCGTACCAAAAAGCGAGTCCCATTGCACCCAGATCCAAGCTTTCGCTCAGACCAAACAAAATCATAGTGATAACAGTATGTCTGAGGTCTTTGGCGGACGTAGTCGTCAACTTGTCGTCGTAGGTCTTCACCACCTTTGGCTCGAGGGTCAAACTGGACACTGTCCTTATGGCTCCAATAGCCTCGGAGGCAAACCTGGCGCTCTCGTGGTACATCATCCTCATTCGATCTTGACTGCTCATTTCGAGTCTCATCCGTGTGAAGCCCGCGGCAAAAAGTGGAGGAATACAGCCAAAGATGGCCACAAGTGCAAGTTGCCAGTCGTACGCCAATGCCAGAGTGCAGGACCCGATCAAGTTAACAATGACGATTAAGATAAGCCCAAAATTGGAGGAAATCAAATCCTGCAATCGCTGGGGATCTGTCGATAGTCGACTTGTCATGGCTCCTGCTGAGTGCTCGTTCAGATCAAAAAAGGGAACATCTTGCTTCAAAATGGCTGCGAAGTATTCGCTTCGATAGAACCGAGTGGCGTAGAACGCCGCAACCGTAAACAATAGTCCGAGACTGGCATAGCAAAGCAACACCCCCAGCCCCATGATAAAGTACATTAGAGCCCAGAAGTTTCCTCGATTTTCCATACGAGATAGAGGCAATCGAAAGACCTTGACGCTTTCGCTGAAGACTATCGCTTGGGCGGGAAAGACTCCGCCCCCGCCGACTGAGGCAAGGAATCCTCCTAGGAAGAACGGCCACAGCCGTCGTTGCTCGTATAGAACAATCACGATGCATCTAGCCAACGAAAACTTCCGTGAGACATCTTCGGCTACGAGTTCGGGCTGACCAGAGCTAGCGTGAACGGGAGTCTGAGTCTTCCGGAGCTGTAGCTCCCCCGATTTCTCATCCACAGGCTTTGACGACGAATCCTGCCGGGAATCCAGATTTTGGGCACTGACAAGACCATAATAGGCACCTTTACGTGCAAGAAGGTCCTGATGGGTTCCCTGTTCGACGAGTTTGCCTTTGCTCAAAACAACAATCTTGTCCGCTTTTTGTACGGTCGATAATTTGTGAGCGATCATGATGGTAGTTCGAGTCTGGGAAACATTGTCGAGGGCAGCTTGAACGATACCTTCCGCGGTCGGATCGAGGGCCGACGTGGCTTCGTCAAGGAGTAAGATGCGAGGATTGGCGATGACACTCCTAGCTATCGCCACTCTTTGCTTTTGTCCGCCACTGAGAAAACCACCCTTGTCGCCAACCTTGGTGTCATACTTTTCGGGAAGCTCTTCAACAAACTGGTCCGCGTACGCTTGAACACAGGCTTGTCGGACGAGCTCTCTCTTTTCCGACTCTGGACGGTCATCCATGTCGGTGCCAAATATGCCGTGGGAGATGTTGTTGTATATGGTATCGCTGAATAAAGTTGGCTCCTGTCTGTGGTGAGCTTTGGTAAGAATGGCCTGGTGAGATGACTGACCTGCTGGACAAAACCCATATTCCTTCGGAGCCAGCGTACATTCAGGTCTTTGATGTCAATACCGTCAAACAAGATGGATCCAGAGTCAGGATCGAACCAACGGGTGATGAGACCAACAATCGTACTTTTTCCGCTCCCTGAAGCACCGACGATGGCGGTAATCTTTCCTGCCTCAAAATCCACGCTGAGATCATCCAAGACTCTGACGGTTGGTCGAGAAGGGTAGGAGAAGGTAACATTCCGTAGGCTAATGGTTCCAGTGGGGTTTTCAGGTCGTTTACCTTCTTCCGACATCGGATCGATTTTTGTTTGACGATCAATCATCTCGAACATCCCTTGAGCTGCTGCCGCCGCTTTTGAAATTTCTCCGATCGACGGAGCGATCATTGTAATCGAGGAGGTTCCAATAAGCACAGAGAAAAGAACCGTAATGATATCGCCGCCACTGCCCACATCTCCCTGGACCAGGAGTTTAATGCCATAGAACCATGCCAAAGCGTAGGCACAATACATTGCAAAGAACTCCGTGCTGTATTGAAATCCCAGCACCGGACCCTTTTTCACGCCGTACCGCTTGGCTGTTTCCAGGTATTCATCATATTTGCGTCTCAGCTTGCCCGTTGCATTGAACGCCGTCACGATGCGGACAGTGCTCATGGCTTCCTCGGCCAAACCCCCGGCGGTCCCGTAGATTTTGAGGATTTTGGCCTCGAGTTTTGCATCAATAGCGACAGTAATGCCGACGACGATAACCGCCAATGGGAGAGTAGTTGCCGTAACCAAGGTCAGCTTCCATTGTTGAGTAAAGGCAACAATAAATGCTGCTGCCAACATTGCGAGAGCCTGGAAAGCTACCCCAACCTTTTCCCCAAGCCCGTTTTCGACAATATCCGCATTGTTGGATATCGTTGTTGCAACGGTTCCAGGAGAGCAGTTGTCAAAGTAGGCAATGTCCTGTCTGACCAATGCGACGATAAAGTCCTGGCGAAGTGCTTTGGTCGCTCGAATGGCCGTTATTCGAAAACATGTCGTGTTGATAAAGACGAGGAAGAATTTACCGATGAAGAGATAGAGAAAATAAAGTGCATTGTTTGATATGTCGTCGTATATCTCATCCATTGAGATTTGGCCAGTGCCAAAATTATTGAAATCGTCGATCATATCCCCGAATACTATCGTCATAAGAGGTAACGCGGCGCCAGCTCCGCAGGCGGCAAAGAAGCCGCATATTCTCAACATATGATCGATGGGCTTTGCGTAGCGCCAAACTCGAAGATACGGACCAAAGCCAGCGCCTTCTTTCTTCTTGTCTTCCTTGTTTTCTGGATCGCCCTTCCCTCCACCCGTGCCTTCGGATACACTGAGGGTGGCATCTTTGTCCACGTCATTGAGGTGAGCTGCTGGAGGGAGTGTAGACGTTGAGTCCTTTTCGTTGTCGTGTTTGGGGTTCAGTGGAGTTTCGTTTTCTTCTGATGGCGCTAATGGCATAGTGGCGAGTCAGGTATCATGACCATCCTATCCGCAGATAATGTTGAAGGTGGAAGTACTCCTGGGTATCCATGGCTTGAAGGGAAGAAAGATATATTTTTCTTGGGTGCCTAGAGATTCTTAGAGCTAGCATCTGATGTGGTTCCCCGAGAGCTCTCACAAGACCGTACTCGTATTGAGCATCAATAATCTTTTTTGGGTGCCTTGTGATTGGCGCCCACATGGACACACCAAGCCTTTGCCAAAGCGTGGCAATGCAGGGGCTTCTGGGCGGCCAGGCAGAAATACCTACCAATTGGATGTCGTACTCATGTATCCAAGGAGCCCTCCCCGTGCGAAAGTAGCGTTGACGTGCAAAAGCTGATAGGCACTACATCTGCAACCTTAGAGGGCTCACGGATAATGCAAAGATAGATGATGGTTCTTTCCCGCCAGGAGTATTCCAGTGTATGGACACATTTACTTTGGGGGGGGTATTATTCTGTACACCAACTTTTGTTATTCTGTACACCGGAAAACCTGCTTATTCTGTACACCATGCCTCAACTCTCCTTATTCTGTACACCACCACCTCTCTCTCGCCTTATTCTGTACACTTAACGCTCTCATCCTGTTATTCTGTACACCGCGCTAACAGAGCTTGTTGCCGTTGGCCCGGCGATGGCGAGAAAACACTAGTAAGTGGCGTAGCTGTGGAGGGGTGACGCGTTAAACTCTCCCCGTTATAGGTGGTTGCGAAGCAATAAACACATTTGATTCTCTTTCCTTAGTAGATAAATACCGTGCATTTGAGCTTCTCTGTATATTATTCTCTACTCTGTGAATTATTGACAGCCTTCTTGCTCTCGCGTAACCACAGTTTATCGCACTTATGGAAGCCCCTCAAAATCCTCGCTTTTCAACACCAGAATTCTACCAATTCAGCTCAGATGATGACGATTTCAAGAGTGCTCGAGAGTCTCTATCTTCTATAAGCGATGTATCCGAAAACTGGACTGGTTTCTCTCCAGGAACCGCCGAAAACCCAATTGATGTTGAGAGCGCTCCGCCAGTATCATGCCCATCCTTTAGCGATTCATTCGACGACGAGATTGAAATTCCTGCCCCCAAAACACTCGATCAAAACGGCGAAAAACTTCAGTGGGATTCTCTTGATTTAGCCTTCGAGGCTCTACAAGCTTTCGCAAAAGAAAATGGCTTTGCGGTGAAAAAACATACTCGCAAGTTGCGCGATGGTCGAGTTGTGATGCAATATATAAACTGTGTCCGAGGTGGACAACGCAACACCACTAAGGTGTCAACACCAAATCGAAAAAGACGATCGAAGAGCCTAATTGCAGAGAATCCTTGTCAATTTCGGGCTTGTTTGAAGGAGGTGAACCAGACGAGACAATGGGTTCTCGAATTACTTGAAGGATCGCATAATCACGTCGCCGCCGACGAAAGCAAAGTGTTTGCGGTACATCGACGTAATGCTCGAAAGGCCCAGCCTCGTATCCTTCAACAAATTCACGCGGATGTTGAAGTAGGTATCGAAACCAAGAGATCATGGCACTCCATCAGAAAAATGAATCCTACCACTCCAATCACTCTACAAGACGTGCGCAATCAACGATATAGATACTCTGCGGTTCTTGATGAAGGTCTACCAGCAATTCAGGCGTTAATTCGAGATCTTGACGGCGCGTTTGCTCATCAGGAAGTTCTGGACGAGTATAATCATTTAGTACATATACTCTTCTTTCAATACTCCTCCTTACAGCTGCTTCGACGATGGCCATTTGCTCTAGCAATTGATTGCACTTACAAAACGAATCGTCACGGCCTCTACCTCTGTCAAATCATTGGTATGACGTCTCTTAACACCTCGTTCGTCATTGGTCAAGCATTTCTAAGCAATGAAGACAAGGAAGCATTTGTATTCGTGCTGCGTTGGCTACGAGAGTTCTATATAAAGATGAGTCTTCCTTCGCCGACATCGATAACGACAGATAAGGCAGGAGGCCTTCTAGCGGCCCTTAAAGAGGTCTGGCCACAGATTCCGCACTTAATTTGCGTCTGGCACGTCAACAACGACGTTGAAGCGCATTGTAAAGTGTTGTGGCGAAGGAAATATGACAATCAGCAAGGTCATATGTCCGCCGCGGAGAGAAAGTCTCAAGTCGACAATATGTGGAAGTCTCTACTCGTCGATTGGCGCCAGGTTATTTACGCGACTTCAGAGATCGAGTGCGACAACGCATGGGGAAATCTTTACACCAAATGGATAGAGGACAATAAAGAGGTCGTCGTCTATCTCAGAGACACTTGGATGAGTTGTAAAGAGCGATTTTGCGAGGCGTGGACATCGTTTTTTATGCATTTCGGGAACGCGACAACATCAAGAGTTGAGAGTATGCATAAAGCGGTGAAGAGCGATTTGCCGCATAGACAATCGCACCTCCGGGGTGCGATTAGAACTTTTCAGGCCTACAACGAGCGTCTGAACGAGCAAACTGAGCATCGCCTCGCTGACGAGCGAATTAGAATCGATTTACGACTTCGTCATGACAGCGTCTTCTTCGGCCTTCATACCAGGATTTCCTCATTTGCTCTAAAGAAGGTGTTAGAGCACGTCGAGTATTTCAAGCGACAACCATTTGCTGGTATCGGTTGTTGCACAAATCGCTTTACTCGTCAGTGGGGTCTCCCTTGCGCTCATCTTTATCATCAAAGAAAGGCCCTTCGTGCCTCTCTAGAAATCGATGACTTTCATGCTCAATGGCGTCTTGAAACCCTCAAAAAGCTACCGCCAATTGACCCTCTATATCTACTGAAAGATCCGGTAAAGGTAAGATCACGCCTCGAGGCAAAGTCAAATAAACGTGAATTATCATTGGTTGAGGTGGTGCGTAATGAGGGTCTCTCCGTATCTACTCAAGACTCTCAGATGAACCAAATACTACCTAATCAACGCCGGATTACCATAGAGTCTTCTCAACAAGTATCGACGACGACTTCTAGTCTTTCCTCACGACAAGAAGAGGCATCAGAATCTCGACCTCGTATAACGCACCACCCGGCCTCTATTGAGACGATATTAAAGCCTCTAGACGACTTAACACCTCTTCCGTTATATCACATCTCTATGGGTGACGACATCGAACTAGGAGGCTTTCGTATGGCCTCGGAACTCGTGAACTGGGAGCAATATCACGGACTAGGCGGTGCATCATTCGCTCGTCAGTGGAAGAATGAAACAGCGTGGTGTCCAGACCCTCAGGCTTTTAAACATCGTCCTGAGGAGAATTTCGAGTGGTCAAGCGACGAGGAGGACTACTTTGCAGATTTAAAGGATGACAGGATTGTTAGTAAGTCGGCCAGGAACGATTTACTAGCAATTCGTAAGAGTATCGTGCTGAATCAGTTGTGGCTACAAGACAAAAGGCGGAAATATGGGGCCATCGATCCACGACTTCTTGAAACGTCAGAATCTACAACTGTGAATCCTGATGTTAACCACCACCTTGAGGAGCCTTTCGAGACTGTTGTGGAGCCCCAGCAAAGTCTACGAAGGTCTTATAGGTATCGTAGACGCAAAAGGCACTTCGATGAACTAGATGAGAGCAATTGATGCCGATTCGTGGCCTACACAGCCGGATTTGTGTAGAGCATACCATCGTTAACCATCATTTCTACATTCTACGTTCTACGTTCTACGTTCTGTACAGGCTTAGATGTTGCGACATCACGTATCTTCGAATTGCGCAGATAACCGGAAAAACAAAAATCCGGACCAATCAGAGGCGGTGTACAGAATAACAAAATGTGGTGTACAGAATAACATTACCCGAGCAAAGCCGTTTGGAATCACGTGGTCTCTACCACGCGGCACAACCTGGTGCGAAATCCAGGGGCTTTCGGAGCCCTCAGAATTC